AAGATTCCTTTTCTTCCTGGGTCTTCATTGAAATATAAGGTTACTAAAAGTATTTATTTTATTTTTAAGAAAGTCAGCAAATACGAAAAGTTAAAGGGAAAAGAAAATGCTTTTCAATGAGGAACGATTTTGAAAAGTAAGTTTTGTCCTAAAGGACTGTTCCAAAATGAAAAAAAGAATAGGATAAAAACTAAAAAACTCAAAAAGTTCATAAAAGTATGGGTAGGTCTTATGGAGAATATAAAAAATGGAGCTTATAAAAGGTTCATGTATGTGATTAAATTGACTCTGATTAAAAGGTTGTCTAAAGGATTTCCTAAGGTCAAGAGTTAATGCACTGTTTTAGAACTGGCACCTGATTCTCTATGTCAGAATACTATCTTAAGAATACTGTTCTGCTCTTAGTAACATTTGTTCTTTGAAAATACCATGGCATAAAGGAAACATTTTGTATTTTATCCAGATAATTACTTACGTTTTCTGCAGATTTTGTCAGAAAACTGAATCTTAACTCAATCAAATTTCATTATTCATTTAAATATGTGCATATACCAAAATCTTTTAAATGATCACCTTATAACTGTGGTTAAACAAACAGCCATTATATTAAGTGACTTCAGTACATTTAGTGCTTTATATATATCTGTGACTAAAAGTATGTGGAGCTGTGTGTCTAAATTTTATGAAAATGTACAAATATTTGCAGAGTTAAAAAATGTGTAAGTTAAAATCATATAAAATGACCAGCCAATGTGCTCTTTTATCCAAAATGCATCACATTGAAACCTTACACCTTACAGCATTTTAAGAGGAAATTAACTTCTGAAAAGCAAAATAAAAAGGTTCAAGAGACAAGGACTTAAAACTTGTAACTGATGAAAACTGTCACCAGGATTGTTCAATCCATATTTGCGTAAAATGAAATGCCACAAGATTCTTGAAGATAGGTAAATTGAAACCACTCAGTTTGTCAACAGAGATTCTCAAAGAGCAGTGGCATTTATTTGGGAATATCAGAGTACTGAAAAGGGAAGATGAGTACTGTAATAGCTATGGGCATATTCAAGGAGGTCAAGGCAAGGGAAAATTGTTTTTTCTTATTATTAGGATATATTTATTGTACAGAAGGAAATCATTGTGACAATTCCAAATATTGTACATTAGTTAGATTGCTCCTACCATCTCTCTTCCTCCACCCACTTCCCACCCACTTCAAGCAATTGCAAGAAGTTTCATTGTTCAGTTTCATATAAGTATATGAAGTACATCAACCACATTCCCTCACTTTAATCTCCTTTGTTCACACTCCCCCTCCCATAGGTACCCCCAACCCACACTGTATCAATTTTATAGTCCTGTCTTTTATTAACTCCTAAGTCAATGTTCAAGGGGATTTCTTGCCTTGTATGCACATATGAATAATAAAAGAAAAATGAAAAAAAAAATAAAGTGTTTGAAAAAAAAAAAAACAAGGGGATTTCTTGATGTATCCTCACTGTGAGTTTACTTTGGTGCAAGGGGAAGTTTTTAAAGTCAAAAAGGCAGAAATTTATGTAAGCTGATTGCACACAAATTTCATTAGTCTTGGAGACACAGGCAAGAGTTGACTTCAGCTCATTGGTAGAGGTGGTATTGCTGGGCAAATACTGTCCATAGCATCTTGTCTGACCCATTGCAGTCTTGAATGTTAAAGATAAACTTTGTTATAGAAATCTGCTCATAACTTTTAAGGTGTGCAAAGCCTGGGATGTATGTAGACTGTGGAAGAATTTCTCTTAGGCCTTGAGAAAGTGCTATGTCAGACAGGCAGGCATGAAGTCTCTCCTTTCATAACTTCTTGGCTCTAATTTTGTTTGGGTCTGACAAGAACGATTTTATATTGGTATTATCAACTTTTACAAGTTCATGACCATTATTTTTCATTCTTACAGTGGCCTAGGAACTCTCCAAGAAATCATTTAAATACCTTCTTTCTCATCCCAAGTACTTCCTGTCTCCCTCTGTTATGTACTCAAGAAATCCTCTTCACAGTTGTCCAGAATACTATACCTGAATGTCTTCTCTGTTACCTTCCTTAGAAGTAGCTGTTTGGAGGCAGGGGATGTAGCTCAGGGGTAAAGCACTTGCCTAGAATGCCAAGACCCTCAGTTCAAATCCTTAGTACATCAAAAAATAAATAAAGTAGGGGTGTGTGTGTGTTGAGTGTGTGTGTGTGTGTGTGTGTTTAACAACATTTATTAAACAGGTGTCTGCCTTCACATTTCTTTTTTTTTTTTAACTTGCAGTTCTTGGGGATCAAACCCAGGGCCTTGTGCATGCTAATCAAGCACTGAATCACTGTGTTACATCCCCAGCCCTCAAATTTCCTTTATAACATTATTAGCTATAGAATATTTTGGAGACATGATCAAAATAGATAGAATTTAGAAAACAGGTCAAACAGAAAGGATGCCACCAGGAATCACCTGTGTAGAAGAATAAATTTACAAAAATTCAAAGAGCATAAAACATAGAAAGTAGGGGCAGTGGTCACTGCAAAGCAGGCTCTGAGTGTGTCACAGAAACCAAGGGCATAGATCCTCTCATAGAGGCAATGTCACTGAGTGGTGAAGAACACAAAGAGATGATTTATTTGATACAGTATAAGAACCTTTGTAAATGCTACAATGTACCCCTACCTAGCTCAACAATAATAATTTTAAAATTAATTGAATAAATAAAAAGAATGCATAGACCACCATTCCAGTGCCAGGGCTTGGGACACAGTAGGCAGTCAATAAACACTACAGGAACAAAACAACAAAGGCAGAGTGAGCAGAGCCTGAAATTATGCTGCCCCTGAGGACATGGTATTGTGGCCCAGGGTTTGTAAGTGGGGAAGTCATATTGCAGGCTTCTGACTGGGCAAACTCAAAGAAGTTGGAGAGCTCATAGCACCCCAAGAATAGTGGATGCCTGTGGGGCTCAGGAGCTTCCAAGTGAACTCACCTGGGAGATGTCAATTCGGGGGAAGGAAAGAAAAAGGAAAAAAAAGAGCATTTGGGTAAAATAGCCCAGTGAAAGCCAAATAGAAGATATTTTTGTATAACCTTCAGAACCACAGGTGATTCAAAAACTGATAGAACTATTTTCTTTTTCTTTCTTTCTTTTTTTTTTGTGTGTGTGTGTGTGTTACTAGAAATGGAGCTCAGGGCCTTACACATGCTAGGCAAGTGCTTTTCCACTTAAGCTATGCCCCCAGCCCTGTTCATTAGTTGCTTCTGAGACAGAATCTCACTGCCTTTGTCTGGGCTGGCCTCAAACTTGGAATCCTTCTGCCTTTGCCTCCCAAGTGTCTGGGATTACAGATGTGAACCACCACTCTTAGACTGACCCTAAACTGTAAAGTGAAACACAAACAGTATCAAAGAAACTGGACTGCGACAATAGACTCTTTAGAAACTGAAGGACTGCTTCTTCATAGACATCTCCCTGAATTAAGGCCACATGAAACTGCCTGGGTTATTTGATAAAGTATGAAGTATTAATCACTGTGGATGTTGTGGAGTGAGCACAGGTCCTCTTCATTTTCCTTGGGACTTGGTGCTTTTGTTTTGGAATGAGCTGATGCCCTTGTGAAAGCTCTGAACTTGCATCAGGGGAAGAACCACAGCATAGACTCTGAGGAGCTCTTTGTTTGCATCTTATTAAAGTCAGTTGTTGACTTCCTATTAACATGTGACCTTCCAGAAGTGAAACATCATTGCTCAAGAGCCACAACAACACAGCAAAACCATTGTACAACATCTGACTTCCTCAAGCAAAACCTGGCAAATCTGAAGTGTTCCATATTTTACAAATGGACAAGATTTTGATGACTATGTGATCTGGACTCTATACAAAGTTGTATATTCACTGTAGCCTTAAAATGACCATCTTTGATGTCTCTATAATGAACACAGAGAACAAAAAGCTCTTCTCAAAATTAAACACAAAATATTAGCTTCCTATCCCCTCTCTTAATAACAACCACTAAATTACAAAGTAATCTTAGTTTTTAGTGCATTTTAATACCATATCCATATTGAATCATATGAAGATTTATAACAACATATAAAGACAAAACACAAATGCTTCAGTTGTGATTTTTAATGTAAAAATATTTAATTTAAAAGTCATTTGGGAGATATAAAATCAGACAAAACATCTGAAATTTCAAAGTCTTTTTTTTTTAATTTTAAGAATATCTATATTAAATGATCAGTAACAAGTATACTAGGATATTTCAAGCAGCGTGGAACATATATTTTGAAAAAAAGTAAGCCACCCAATGTTGAAATACACCATTAACCATCATGACCTTTGTGTTACAGGATTTGTGCCTATTAAACCTTATTCTTCAGTGAGACAGCTGGGACTATGAATGCCTGGGGCCAGATTCCCTTTGATATGTACTTGAAATAGCTATCATTTCTTCTAGCACTTTGCAAGATAACTTTCACTGCTGACATTAGCAACAGCCGGGTGTGACCCAGCATGCCTATAATCCTAGCACTCCGGAGGTGGAGGCGGGAGAATCTGGAATTCAAGTCTGCCTTGAAAAACACTTAAATAATCTCTCAATTCTTATCATTGCTGCTCTCACCAAGGGCACAAATATGTTTACATTGACCTTGAAACTCTATGCTGCTCTGTCTCACACACTAGCACCCATGAATTCCCATAGAAAATGAGGCTGAAATTGGGTTTGATCTTTTTTCTCACCCAAACATGCGAGCTCTTCTCACTACCCTACACTGCAACATTTTGGAGTAGCCAAAAAAAGGTTAAAAAAATTACCACAGTACTTTAAAATAATCCTTACAGGAAGAAAGAATTTAGGAAAAATCCTTTAAACTTTTTTGCTTTGGTTTCTTTTTTCGTTTGTTTGTTTTGGTGGGACTGGGATTTGAACTCAGGGCTTCACGCTTGCAAAGCAAGTGCTTTACCACTTGAGCCAAACCTCCAGTCCATTTTGTTCTGTTATTTTAGAGATGGGATCTTAAGAAATATTGCCCAAGCTGGTCTTGAGCTTTGCTCCTCCCATGCTAAGATTACAGGTGTGAACCACCAGCACCTAACTTATGCCCTTTAAAGCTTTTTAGTAAACTTGGGAACCTGATAAGCAAATTTAGCAAAATATATAATGCAAAAATGATAAAAAGATATCTTACATCATTACAGTAGTTTGCAAATCATTAATGATGTGGATATTAGCAAGTAAGTTATTGCTGAGTTTCTGGATGCACCTGAATGGTAAAATGAATCCTTTTTATACCATCTCCCAAATAGTGACACTGTTAGAATAGGCCCAGATGACCCATTCTTGTTTACCAAACGTCCATCTTTTAGCACCTAAAGAAAAAGTGAGAACAGTACAGTCAGCTTTGTTAAAATACACATTGCAAGCATGCTAATGATTGTGAAACCATCCTAGATACAGTAGTTGATTGGGTCATTCCTTTTTGGGAAGGGAAGAACAGGCGGAATGGAAAAGGGCAGCTGTTTTACATGTAATGAAGACTCAACATTTGAGTTACAACAACTGAATGTAACCATTCATCAACAGCATCGATTCATTGGGTCCAATTATGCACAAGCTAAAGAAGTATACAGGAACTAGAGAAGCATGCATACCACTTATCCCTCAAGAACTTTAAAAGTTAGTGGTTAGTGGTTAGTGCTGCACGTTCTCAACATAGAAATACATATGTTAGACAGGAAAGCAGATAAATGTTCAGGAGGTCTCAGAAGAAAAAGCTAGACTTGTCTGCTTTCCACAGTGGGACACAACCTCAGAAAAGAATGAGAAGTTAAGAATTTCTTCCTGGGACTATATGGCAGAGACAGTATGGGAACTGGAAATCTAAGCAGCAACGTCTCATTATGGGACAAAGCCAGTGTGACAGGTTCAGGAAACATTTTTTTTCCCACTCTATGTTAGAGCCAAGAGGTGTGACTGAACCACTGGGGTATAGACTCACAAGAATAGATTATTAAATTCCCAAAAACTTTGATGAGTAGTTGTTAATCCAGCTGTGTTAGCTGACCATTACTGTAATGAAATGCCTGAGATAATTAACTAACAGTGAGAAAAGGTTTACTTTGGCTCACAGTTTGGGAGGTTCCAGCCCAAGATGGGGGGAGGCAATCATTGCTTTAGGCCTCTGATGAGGTAGCACACCACAGCAGAGTGCATGGTGGAGCCAAAGTGCTCACACATCGTAAGACAGGGATCAAAAAGGAAGAGGCCAGGACCGCACAATCCCCTTCAAGGGCACACCCATAGTGATCTAAGGACCTCCCACTAGATCCCACCTACTAAAGCTTCCCCACCTCCCAATAGTGCCAACATGGCAACCAAGGCTTTAACACATGGACTTTTGGGGGGCACTTATCCAAACCACAGCACCAACCATTCTTAAAATTGATCATGCGGGAATATTTATACCATGAAAATTGGCAAGTGCCACAAATCAGGACTTTTTCCTTTTCTTCCTTATAGAACAAGTTGCTAGCACTTACAGTCCACCACTGGCTAGAGCTGAAGATTCAGGAAGAAGACACCACCCCAGAAACTGAGGAATGTGGGGATCATATTGTGAAAGCCATGAATGACCAGCTCTGTGGAAGGTACAGTGGATTCTCCAAAAGGAGGTAGTAAGTATAATTGAACAAGAATTGGAGAAAACAAGAATAGACAATAGACTGATAAGAATGAAAGAAAACAAACCCATCAGTTAAGAGAAAGCCTGCCCAGGGAAGAAACTGGAAACTGAGAAGAGAGTTACTTTATAACTGGAAGAAGAAAGTCACCACACATCCTAGAAGATAATTACTGTGCTTCACTGTTCACCAAGTGCCTTCATGGGCACTGTCATAATCAGTGAGGAAGGCATTCCCTCCTATAATTATGGAATTCAGAGATTAAGAGACTTTCCCAAGGTTATATAACTAGTTGGTGGCTGAGTCCTGACTCAGCTCGTGCTTCTGGTAATAAGACAGAGTTGCCTAAGGTGCTAGAGCAAGGTGTTTTGACATTTGTGGGCACAGGGAGTAACATTCCATCCTCTTAGAATAAAACTAGTGGGGGTGGGGTAGAGTGGGTAGAATTTCAACACTCAGTAAGTGTGTTAAATTTTCTGCAAGAGTGATCCTTTTTAAGACATTGGGTAAATGTTCACTGAGCAACTGGAATGGAGGAGGGGGAATATTCAAGAAGACATGTGAGCATGACTGATATAAAATACTCGCCTTTTTTAGAAATAATATGTTAATCAAAGGACCGTGCTCTACAATGTCACTAAAAGAAAAGAACTAAGAATCAGTTAGCATTTATTTGGCTGTTTTCAAGGTCTTTAGACCTTATGGTCTTTAAATCATAGCCCTAATGAAGGAAGATACTGCTTCAGGCTGCCATGGCTCTCTAGATTTCTTTCCATAAACACTCAACCCCTTCTGAATTCTGTGCTCACGAATCAAATGGTCTGATAGTCCATAGTTTGGATTCCCAGGACGACTTGCTCATGGGGAGCTTTCTTGAGATGACAATTCATTGTTCTCCAAGTAAGTGAATCTATTTTCAAAAATAATTAGTTGTGCTTTCTTTCACCCATCCTATGGGCTTAGTTAGTATTTATCCCTTAGAACCTGAAGAACTCAGAGAAAATCATGACATTTTAAATCCACACTTATAAAATGAAAGCCTACAGCACCCTGACTATGATGCTCCCTCTAAGGAATTGCTATCTCAAAGACCTTGCCTGCCAAGCTGCTTTTTTGTATACTTTTGGTCTGGCATACTCTAGATCTCATTTCTTCTTTCTGAAATGAATTGGAGCAGGTGAGACAAGACTCAGATGGTAATTATACCATAAGTGCCTGATTTAAAGGATAGGTGCCATCACTTCCTCCCCTCCTTCCTTCCACCGCCCAAGAATAAGGACCCAGAGCTGGGAGACAGCATGGCTTCCAGAGAATCGAAACCTACAAATACTAGGAGTTCAGCACTTAAATGCTTTCTCTACTGCACCTTTCTCTAATTGCTCCCTACTGTTTGAAACCACTTGAGATGAACATGTTAAAACAAACAAAGGAGACCCCTTTGTTTACTCTCAAAATCCTCAACTATCTTAATCCAACTTCGTTAAAAATTGTACTCTGGTGTAGCTCAGAGTGATAGTGAAATGATACTTCTGACTCTGGACTCTTAATCTGGTCTAGAAACCAGCATTTTTTTGTTCTCCCTTTGATGAGGCTATGGAGTAAGGTTAACGCTCAGTCCTACTTGGGGAAACTTCTCAGAGACAGGTTTCTATGAGTGCACAACTGGGAAAGTGTCGTAGTAGGACACAGGAAATCAGGTTGTGTGCTCAGCTGGCTCAGGGCTTACATACTAAGTACCACTAGAGCTGATCATGTGCCTTCCTAAGTCTACCTGTGTGACACTGCTTTCTCCTCTTGCTTCCTCGAAGTGACCTCAAATATTTTCAGTTCCATCTCTGCGTATTTCTGTCAGTCCAGCTGCCTTTTTGTTTTTTGAGGTTTTTTGTTTTGTTTTGTTTTTTGCAGTACGATGGTTTTGAACTCAGGGCCTCCTGCTTGCTAGGCAGGTACTCTATCAATTGAGCCATGCCCCCCAGCCCTTTTTTTTTTTTTTAAACTGGTGACATTTCGTTGTCATGTCTCTTTATTTTTCTTTATTTTTTTTTTAGATTTTTTTTTTATTGTTTTATTATTCATATGTGCATACAATGCTTGGGTCATTTCTCCCCCTTGCCCCCACCCCCTCCCTTACCACCCACTCTAGGCAGGGGGGAGAAATGACCCATTTTTGCTTATAGGGTCACATATTTTTGCCCTGGCCAGCCTCAGACAACGATCATCCTACCTATGCCTCCAATAATCTGGGCATGTTCTACCATGCCCAGTCTAATGGGTGAAATGGGGTTTTTGCTTTTTGCCCAACTTGACCTCAAATCGTGAGCCATCATGCCCAGCTAAAGAGAAATAGTATCTTTTTATTTTGGGTGGTATTGGGATTTGCACTAAAAGCCTGGTGGTTGCTAGGCAAGCACTAGATCACTTGAGCAAGAGCAATGCCTCAGCCTAGAAAATTATTTTTTTATAGTACTGGAGCTTGAACTCCAGGGCTTTGTACTTGCTAGGCAAGGCCTATCATTTGAGCTATGCCTCCAGCCCTTCCAGCTGCCTTTTGACTACTAGATTTTAGCTCCAGACTCCTCATTTGAGATCTGATCACAATTTTGTATAGCTAAGCTTTTCTTCTTGACTCAATTTACTTGTGAGTTCACCCAGGTTTTATGGCAGCCAAGGATTGCTGCTGTTGAGTTTTGCAGCCTAAGATTGCACTGTATGTTAAACACTTAGCTTCACAGAATTAAGTAGCTTTATAATTAGGATATGTTTCTGTCTGATAATACACACAGACATGTGACCACAGCAATTTGCAGTTTCGAAGACTTCGTTGCCTGATGCTTAGATTTTAATTTCCTTTTATGGAGCATGAATGATAACATGCTAGTTATGGAAACCCTGTCTCTGTTTGTCATAATTCAGAAAATCATCAATGTCCAAATTAGTAATGAGTATGCATATGTATGTGTGTGCATGTCATATGCTAGCAGATAAAAACCTCCAGTTATAATTCTGACTTGAGAATAGCTTAATTCATGAATTAATTCCCTATAGCACTATAATTTATGAACTAAATATCTGATTTTCAGTTTTTCTCATGTAACAAAAGAAAAAAAATCTATAAACTAAAAATCTTCAGTGACTGATGACTCAAACTCATAGGTTTTAGATATGTTATTGTGTTATTCCAATAAAATGTCATCACTTTATCATTAGTTGCTATAAATTGCAAACATGACTGCAAAATTCCCCTCACTTTATCCAAGTCTTTTGGCAATATGGTTTTACAGCTGTTCCCACTGAGAGAGCTAAGTCATTTATTTCTCTACAACTTGAATGTACATGTCGTATGACTAGCTGTGGTTGATAAAGCATTCATAAATGTTCAAGCAGAGACTTGCAAAGAACTGGCCAGATATGGATTTTCCTTTTGATGCTCTTGGACTCATTCAATGAAAATTGAGCAAGTCCACATTTGGTGAGAGAAGAGAGACCATGAGGAAAGATGGCCCCAAATTCCCCAGCTGTGTTAAGTGAGTCCATCACAATCCAGTCTACCTCAACCATCCTCCTAGCTAGTAGAACACACAAGCCCAGCCTACATCAGCAGAATGATCTCAAAGTAGAAAAATAGCTGAGCTATACCTTAAACTGCCAAACCACAAAATCAGGGCTAAATCAATGGTCATTGTTTAAATTCATTAAGTTTTTTTTTTTTTCAGTGTGGTGCCTGTATATATATTTTTTTCATGTATTCATATGTGCATACAATGTTTGGGCCATTTCTCCCCAACACCCCCCCACTCCCTCCCTCTCCCTCCCTACCGCCTCTCTTCCAGGCAGAAACTGTTCTGCCCTTATCTCAAGTTTTGTTGAAGAGCAAATATAAACAATAATGGGAAAGACAAAGCATTTTTGCTAGTTGAGATAAGGATAGCTATACAGGGAGATTCCTAGCATTGCTTCCATGTTACAAATGTGTTACATTCTAAGTTGTAAATCCATTAAGTTTGAGGAAGTTTATTATACAGCAAAAGTTAACTGACAGTTGCCACAGAAACTGCTCTAATCTGTTTTACTAGACTTCAGAGAACAGAGCAGTGAAATATACTCTTTAAATCCTCTTACCTCAAATTTTTCAGGCGACAGATGAATTTTAGAAAGCAGCACTTCAGGAAAAACATATTTTGTTCCAAATGTACCACTGAGGGAGAACATTTCAAATCTTGTCAAAGCAGTTTCTATTGGCCGTCCACAAGTGGTCAAATTAGCACTTTTGCACTTCAGCATTGTGCATACCTGTGTGGAACAGATGCAGACAAAATTCAATGACTGTCTTAGATCTTGTTATTCATAATAGAGCTGGTGACTTGGTTTTTAAGTGTAACAAGGCAGAACTTTCTTTCTCTGTTAAAGAACTTGGTTTTCCTTCTTTCCTTCCTTTCTTCCTTCCTTCCTTCTTTACTCTCTTAGTCTCTTTTTTTTTTTTTTTTTTTTTTTTGCAGTTCTGGGGCTCAAACCTTATTTCTTATAATTGCCTGCTTTCTTGAAATGACAAGTGACTTGAGAACCAACACACTTCTTGGATAGCAAGTAGACTGAAAGAAAGAAGTCAGTTTGACTTAGATTTAAACTATTACTTTGGTGTGTTAGAAAATGGCACTGAGCCCAAGGAAGTATAAGTCTTTGGGAAACAGTTTTGCAGACTTTGGAAGAGTAATTAAACCTTGACCACACTGCTCTTCACCTCTCTTTCCATGTCCTTTTCTTTAGAGATGACAGTGAGGTACGAAGCATAAGAAGATGCAAATTCATAGCCAACACACCACAAAAAATTTGCATCTTTAATGCTTCTTATTTGAAGGAATTTGAAGGGAATAAGACTAGGACCTCTGATTAGAAGAGGAATAAGATAAAGCTGATATTCCTACTCTTTGTTGATTTCACAAGTGAAAATAAATCTGTTTATATTGAGTGTTGACAAACAATCTAATTGAAGTTCACCACAATATCAAATAGAAAGTCATCATAGCTTAATTTTTTTAATGTTCTCAAGGCAAGAAGTTAGATTATGTTTAATTCCCATTGCAAATACCATGTTTGGTTAAATCCCTGTGTGTGTGTGTGTGTGTGTGTGTGTGTGTGTTTCTGTCAATGTATGAAGTCACACCAAGGAAAATCACTTAGTTTCCTAGAACAAATGTGAAAGGTTAACCTGAAATTTATTGGCGCTTAAACATTCCCAGTAACTTAAGCCAAGATTACCTGCCAGTACTCTCTTCTTCTTCGGCCGTGAAGTCCAGTAAAAGCTCCCAGAACATACACTTCATTCTCTTCTTTTTTTAATATTCTGTAGCTTAAATGACAACATAACTCTTTTTGACAGACTGTAAGATTTCCTGCATTTTCAAAAAGTTCTGTGAAGTTAAACACATCCCGGGAAATAAAGCCTCCAAAAGTTTTTTTCTGTACTTGGAAGGGTTTGATACTTGTAGCATAGGCACTCCAATTTACAGCCACTGGGTAGACAGGAGAGGTATGAGGATGTGACTCCAACTTTGAAAAGAGGATCTTTCCCATCTGTGTCTCCATGTCATAGTGGTACACTTTGGGAGCATGTGGTGCATAGATACCACTCCCTGTGAATGCAAAACAAGTCTTTTTAAATAACAACAATAGCGACACACACACACACACACACACACACACACACACACCACACAAACACCCTACTGCCTATTTCTTCATCAGAATTGGGGGTGTATCACCTTATCATACTAATGAGAAGGCATATGGGCTTCCAGTTACACCAAACACCTAACTCTTTCTACTCTCTTTTGGAACGGATTAAAGTAGATGTTTGATAATCTCATTTCAAATAAACTGTGGCTATAATAGCATTATTTATTAGCATTTTGGAAAAATACAAAATATAAAAATCTTTGTGTTCAGAAGTTTCTAATGTTTGAGAAAAGGTGATGCAAAATTTCTCTCCTTTCCCATTGTGATGACTTTCAAATATGTCCAAACGTTCTTCAACACTCCTCTTCCCAATAAGTGGATCCAATTCCCTTCCACTGGACCTAGTGACTCACTTCTAATGAACTGAGCATGGTAGATGTGATGGTGTTAACTGGCCATAAATTGCAACAAGGCTTCCTTCTCCTTCCCTTTCTGTCTCTGTCTTTCTGTCTCTGTCTCTCTTTCTCTCTCTTCTTTCATCACTTGCTGTGGAGGAATGGAGCTCCCATATTATAAGCATATATTCATTATACAGTCCTATGGAGAAGCAAGTGCCAAGAAATGAAGGCCTTCTGTCAACAGCCACTGAGCAACTGAGAGTTCCTGCCTAGAGCCATGGGAGCTTGTCATCCTGGAAAAGAACCAGCCTTCAGATAATTGCTACCCAGTCAACAGCTTGATGTAACCTGAGAGCTAGTTTAAGCCACTCCCAAATTCCTAAAGAACAGAAACTGTGAGACAATAAATGTTGGTTTAAGCCACATTTAACTTTAATTTAATTTGTTATATGGCAGCATTTGAATAACATTATCTTCTCCTTTTGACAGATTGGAACACATTTCTATTCAGGTCCCTGCTTGTCCACTTGTTGGCTGGTCTTTGGAAAGTTACTCACACTCTCTGTGCTCAGTTTTCTAATCTGCAAGTTAGGGTGTTAATATCCATCACAGAGAGTTATCATAATGAGTGGATGAAATAAAATATGTAAGTATTTAGCATGGCCATAACTTCTATAATCATGCACTAGCTTTTCTTTTTCTTTTCTTTCTTTCTTTCTTTTTTTTTTTTTTTTGGTGAAAAGATAACAAACAGTAAAAAGTTTCAACAAAAAGCAAAGGTTAAGATCAGGGCTGGCAAAGTGGCTCAAGTGGCAGAGCACCTGTTTAGCAAGTGTGAAGGCCTGAGATAAAACCCAAGTACCACCAAAAAACAAAAACAAATAAAAAGTTATGATGATATCTGAGGCATTCATTTCTCTGTATTTGGAGGCAAATGCTGCAACCTTCACTGGATCATGAATTACCTGTCATATTTAGTCTGGGATGATGTATGTTGGCTGCAAGAAGATTAACTCCCATTCCCATTGCCCAAGCTGAATGGAATTCAATAGCTGTCAAAAGGGGCAAAACATTCATCCAAGCTGCAGGAAACAATATGGTGTCCACGTGGAAATCTTTCACTAGGGTAATAGCAGGATCATGGAACAGTATATCAAAGCACGTGAAAATGCCGAACATCCCAAATGTGGTATTGAAAGTTACCAATTCTGGTTTTCCAGGGGTATCAAACTGAGGCTCCACGTAGAGGTGATACTATAATAAATATATAAAATCAAAATATTAAAGGCTTGCTTATTGAAGAGATAATTGATATTGATAACAAAAATCAATAAAAGATATATGGTTACAGCAGGAAATTTCCCTGAATCTGGAAATTGGAGTAAATTTCCAAGGAAATAAGCAACATATGTCCAGAGGCATCTCCTCTCTCTCTCTCACCAAATATCTCCGCAGAAACCCCAAACACTATAAGCTACTTAAAAGCTGCATTACTCTTTGGAATTCCTGATACCCAGAAACAAAATAGACACAGAGTAAATATCTTTGAGTCCCATGAAGGATGTCACTTCTCTCTTCATAATATTCCATCCAAAGTTATCTCAGGGACTCTTATCCAGCTTTTAAAATTACTATTGAAAAGGAATATTCTGTTTAATTCTCTGAGGTTTTAAAAATTACTATTGAAAAGGAATATTCTGTTAATTCTCTGATTCCTTCCAAGTCAACTCAAAAAACTAACCTAGTCTAATATGGTAATCAGATCAACAGTTAATAAAATACTCTATGATTTAAGGAATGCTAAGCTTTGAGGTTGAGACCATTAAGACCTCTCTAAATGTACGTTCTATTAAAAAAATTAAGAAACTGAACTTTACTAGTATTTTAAAAATTGATCAAGGCTGGGCCAGGTGTTGTGCATCTGTAATATCAGTCACTAGGAAGTTAAGGCAGGAGAATCACAAAAAAATCTCAAAAAAAAAAAAAAAACCCCAAAAAACCCAACAACAGTACTTCTATTAGACCCATACATCAGAGGTCATAGGTCATGAATTGTTCCCCAAGATGCCTGAGAAGAGAGTAAGTGCATCTCAACTTAGGATGACTTATAGGCCCCTCACATGCTTGTCTACGTTCAGTGTACTGGCATTTTACTTGGTTAAGTGAATTCACCAACTACGCAACCACTGTTAACTAAATCAGCATTTGCAAAATGGAAGGATAGTTTAAACAGATTCTGGAATTAAACTGCATTGAAAGCTAATACCTTAACGCAGAGAAACTAAAGCAGATACCTTAAAAGCAACTGAGGCCAATAGGAAAAGGGAACAGGAACTAGAGAAAAGGTTAGATCAAAAAGAATTAACCTAGAAGGTAACACCCACGCACAGGAAATCAATGTGAGTCAATGCCCTGTATAGCTATCCTTATCTCAACCAGCAAAAACCCTTGTTCCTTCCTATTATTGCTTATACTCTCTCTACAACAAAATTAGAAATAAGGGCAAAATAGTTTCTGCTGGGTATTGAGGGGGTAGGGGGGAGAGGGAGGGGGTGGAGTGGGTGGTAAGGGAGGGAGTGGGGGCAGGGGGGAGAAATGACCCAAGCCTTGTGTGCACATATGAATAATAAAAGAAAAAAAAAAAAACTAACACTAATCATTCAAACAGTCTCCCAAACAAGAAAATGGAAGAGGTGACATATGAGATAAATTTTGAGAAGAAAACAGAAGATTAATTATATATGAAATTTTGACTACATATGAAAAAATTTTTCAAAATCCACAAAATTATGAAAAAAGTTTTTTATACTTTATAAATATACAAATAAATATTGACATATTTATTATATCAATATATAAACTTAGGTTTTTTTCTAGTCAATACATATGATCAAAATCATCTGAATATCATTGGTTCACTATCACTTCTCTTAATGTTTATATTGTAACTGAGACTTTCAGGAGATATGTTCTCTGCTCAAAAGATTTAGGATGCTTAGAAAAAATATAGGGGAGGGGTACTCACACTGCCTACATATCATATGTCCATATAGAAAGCCAGCCTTTCTCCCCACCCTAATATGAAACTGTGAATAGGGTTTACATTACTTTTTTTCTATTCAGTGTTCAATGTAAAATTTTGATAGTTTGACCTTAAGTCTACAAGTAGGTGATTAAAGTAACTGGTGTAGCAAATAGAGTATTTTTGTGATTTCATGGGAAATTAACTCATATAAAGCCAATTCATACAACTTTGAAACATCTTTATACCATTTCAATATTAAATGGTATCCACATAACAGTCACCTCAGTACCTTTTGCAATGATATTAAAATTATTTGCTTTATATACTCAAAAACTTTATCTGAATCCTGAACCATTAAATTTATCTACCAGGTATCTGTTTCTATTTTTCTCAGATTATTCTCTAAACTACCATCCTTCTTATTACTCATTTTCTTTAAAAATCTCTAGTAAGGCTGGCAAGTGGCTCAAGTAGTTAGAATGCCTGCCTAGCAAGTATGAGGCCCTGAGTTCAAACTTCAGTGCTGGCAAAAGAAAAAATCAAACCTTTAAAAACAAAAAGAAAAAAATCTCTAGTAATAATATAGGGAATGAAGTTCAGACTCCTAAACCCAGCATTTCCCATTCTCATATCAGGCTCCATTTTATATACTGACTCTCTTTCTTACCTTATGGTAACGTGCCACCAGCTTTCCCTTTGTATCATACACCACATTGGTATTGTATTGATAATAGCCATTAGGAGGACATCCATTTGATTTGCATTGTTTTTTGTCTCCAATATTTACCAAGATATAGATAGAGTTGTTCTTAGCCAGGCAGCTGAGTCTTACTTGTACTGGTGTGTGACCAAATCTAAATCAAATTTTAATGAAGACATTCCAATTTTTTAAATGTATTTAAGTCACTTCGTATAGAAACAATAACAATAGCACAAGTGTATTGTAACTGAAGTCAATATAAAACCTACTCATAGAAAAGATCATATTTTAAAAGCCACAGATTATACTTAAACTTGATATTTTCACACTATATCTATTGTTCTAGTAATTCATTATTCCTTTTTCTGCATCATTTGTCTCTTCTCTACTGAGTCATCCCAGCAGCACAAAATAGGTTCTAGTAGCTACCATTGTCACCCAAACTAGAATAGGTTCAAATACAGGGAGGTTTCCAGAGACCTTAAACTCAACCTGGGGTGCCACACTGTGACACAGAGTGCCATGTTAATGGCACCAATGCCTACCAAGTCGTTGATATCACCATGGAAAAGAATTAAGAACAAGTTGAGTTAGGTAAGAAGTGTATGGAAGTTTTATTTAGCAAAGCAGAAGGGAAAACAAGGCAGGAAACAAAGCATGTCCTAAAAGACTGGAGATGTGGACCCTGAGAAGTGCCCAGTGTCCTTTGTCTAAGGCATACTTATAAGGCTCAAGTCAGTCAGGGGGCCTTTAGGTCCTTATCTCTGCACACACTCCTTCTTTTCCACTATCTGGCATGTTAACTGCTTGCTGTGACAACCCTCTTCTAACTGAATCTTATGTTCTTGGAACTGATAAATTTGAGATTCTCAGAGACCAAGTCCCTGAATTGACATAGGTGCCATATGCTTGAGAATCTGCCAGGTGCTTTCTTCTAGAAGATGTTTATTTAGGATAGAAAAGCCTATAGTTAGGAAATATCTATTCTCCTTTAACAAAATTCGTTCTGAGTTTTGCCAAATATTTTCCTTGAGATATTCACCCAATTGTGCTTATTCAGAGCTCCAAGCAAGGTTAAGAGCATAGCAGTGCTATAGCCTAAGAGGGGTAAGACACTACAAGTTACTTTTTGGAGGGGTGCAGTACTGGTGTTTGAACTCAGGTCTTGTGCTTGCTGGGCAAGCACTCTACCACTTAAGCCACACCTCCAGACCCTTCAAATTACCTAGTAATACAGTGTTTACCTTAGTTCATGGTTCTTAGTTCCCATGCCTCAATATCCCTAATCTACCCTGACTCACCATTTAAAATAAAATAAAATAAAAACCTCTCTTGACCCCACATGCCCTTCCAAGTATTGGCTTCAGTGACCAGCTCGCCTTTGAAGCAAAACCTCTTTAAAAGATCTGTCCATATTGTCCATCTTGTTGACCCCAGGTCGCCTTGTCCCTCATTTTCCTTTAAAGCACTCTAACTAACTTTCATCTCTATCATCTTAACACTTACCAATGCCAACAATAATTCCACAATTTATCTTATCTTACTTATCTGCAGCAGCTGGCAGAGTTAATTACACCCTCCTCCTGCCAACTTTCAGCTCCCTGCAGGCATCCACCCTCTCATTCTCTTACTCATTATTGGTTCTTCTCTGCCTCCTCTGCTGGCTCCTCCTTATCTCCCTTGGGTCTAAACACTGGAATTTCCTAGAGCTCAAGCCTTATACCTGTTTTCTTCTCTAATTTGCTTCATCATGATGTTAAAAACCATCTGTATGCTGACTCCTGATTTTCTATCTCCAGATCCAACTCATCCCATCATGCCAGACTTGTATATGTAACGGCTTGGAGGACACAAGCTCCTGGGTGTCTGTACAAACTACAGGTGCACAAAATTGAACTTCTGATTTCTATCCCCAAACCTGCTGTTCCTTCAGGGCTTCCTGTATCTGCAACATGCAGTCTCATTTCTCCCATTGAACTGCAATTGGGTGATGACAGAAGCCCGTTTTTTTGTCAAAGTTTGTTCTTTCTACTCTTGATGCCATGAAAGAGATGTTTACCAACCATATGAAAAAAGTAGTCTCTATGCTGGTTGAGTGACTTAAGTGGTAGAGTGCCTGCCTAGAAAGCATGAAGCCCTGAGTTCAAACCCTAGTACCATGATAATAACAATAATCTCCTCCCCAACATTCTCAAGTTTCTATAGCTGTTGTTTTCTTTTGACTCTTCCATAAATTTGTAACATGTGTTTTTAACAAGAAATCTAGCAACCACCTGCACAAAAGAGTTTCTTACAAACCTTATAAAAAGCATCAGCTTAGAACAGGAAGAAGGAACCATCTACTGTAACCCAGTAATCTATCTCTTGTTAGGGTAGTCAACCTCTCTACAGTCAAGAAAAGCCATTTCCCCATATCCTTATATAACTGCAGAATCATCAGAAGTGCCTAAAAAAGTGTGGTTTCCATAATCCTCCACCAAGAACATGACAGAGGAATGTTTAGTAAATTTAATTTGAGGTTAAAAAAAATGAGGAAAAGTGTGAGAGCATGAGAGAGGAGATGAGACATGAGAGAGAATGAGTGGTAAGAGAGATCAATTGCTATGTCGAGAAGTATGCACTCTTCCCCAAGCTCATCATCTTCTAGTCATACTAGACCATGTGATTTATAAACTCATATACGTACATACTAAATAATTAATATTATAAGGTTTCAAAATAAACTTTTCCCAGGAAAATTAACTCTAAGAGCCTAGGGAAATGCAGTTTCGAAGTAAAATGTTTTATGATTCACTGTAAAATTTGTAGTAAAAGCTTTCTGCCTAAGAGGCAGACTCCAGGACAGACAAACTCTATGAAGTTAAAATAAGGTCCCTTTAACAAAGCCCTTGAAATAGTTTCCTAACACAACACACCTTCTATTTCATGAAGTAAGTTACTGCTTGTATCCATGAGCTCTTCTCTTAGCTTTCCCTGTAATAAGTATTCTGTTTGAATATTTCCCCAAATTTCACAAAGATATTCAATCACAAAAGATTAGGAAATTACATCTAACTATGATTTTTTTAAATATAGCAAATGCCCAAGATAAATATAACTATAACAATACACCACATACATGATAACTCAGGGTTAACTATTTTGCTTTGGTGAACGCATACAGTTTAGAAAGTGATGGCACTAGCTGGGGTGTGGTGGCGTATCTGAACTAGTAGCACTCAAAAGTCTGAGGAAGGGATATGGAGAGTTCAAGGACAGCACCTGGACTACATAGCAAGACCCTGCTTAGAAAAAAAAAAACAGTAAAGAAAAGAAAGAAAATTATGGCACTTTTGCACAAGCAATTAGGATAGTTGACATACCTGTGGGGGTCTTGACATGGAATCCAGTTCACCTGAGGTTCTGGAACATCCTCTAGGTAAGGGAAAATGGTTTTCCTGGTAAATTTCCATCCATAAAGTGCATCTTCTGGAGTCAAAATGATTTGAGCACCCTGTTCAAAAGTAGTCAAATCAAAATTGTTTTCCACGTACAGTATAGACAATTCAACACTCTTCCAGAAATTATGCCCCTCCCATAAATTATGATTAGCAGAAATAAAAAAATACTTGCTGAGCTGCCTGCTTAATTGGTATCTCCAGAATATCTATATTCTTGTTCATGACGAGCAAGGCTTCCTCCTGAGAAACAGGGATTTCTGTTTTATTTGGTAATATAACTGCATGTTCATACACAGCAGCTATAAAATTATCGAGAGCACAGACATGCAGGATAATTAGGGCAAGCCCTGCCACAGAAGTTAGAAGAGAAGTGGCCATGGCTGAGGCTGAGTGATTTCTGAAAGTGAAAGTAACACTCAGGAAGTATTCATACGGGGAAAACATTTATGCAACATATGACTGCAGCTATTTTTCATAAACAAATCATGCCTGCCACTTGAGGAAAACAATGTCACAGTTCATTGAATGCAATCACAAAGTATTGCAATTATTAAAATACATGTACTAGTGATAAGATTTAATATCAAAATTTAAAAAATTCAAACATAGCACCACTCTACTTTCTTTCTATTAATAGAAGAGTAAATTAACTCTTGTATGAAAAAAATCATATCACAATAAACGTTTCTTTTATTTAATTTAAAAAAAGCTAATTTTTTGTTCTGTTGATTGACTTGTCATATTTATTTTTAGAAGAGGAGAAAATTTTTAATATTGACTACTAGCAGAATGCACAGCAAAAAAAATATAAAGAACAAAATTCACCCAAATTGACATTCTGACTTGCAATTAAGAACACCAAGAACATGTGTTCCATAAGCAGATTTGGGGTCTAGTTTGTTCACTGCAGCATTCTTAGTGTCTAAAGCACAGATTCTCCAGGTGCCACTCCCTAGGGTTGGGCCAGAGGAGAAATCAAGACCTCTGTTTACCGTCCGGCCCCCAGACTTTCCTCTGTTTCTTCCTTGCCTTCTATATCCCTTTCCCTGCTTCCTCCCTTCCCTCTTTACTTCATTTTTTCCTTCCTCCTTCCCTCTCCCTCCCCAGCCTTCTTCCCTTCCTTTCTTTCCTTTATAGGGGGTAGATGCCAGGGAGTGGGAGACACCTAGGACTGGTGATCATAAAGATCATCTCTGTTATAATGCAGATAATATATAACTTTCATTTTTGTTAAAGGAAAATAATGAAAATAATCACATGCCTTAATGAATTTTTAAAAACCCACAACAGTTACGGTATGTGACATCTGATGCACTACTAGGACATCTATATTCTTTTTCCCAATTCTGAACCTAAGTTAGGTCTTTGTTTTATTTTATCTAGCCTCTGGATAAAAGTCACTTAAAGGCTTTTTTAAATTTTAATTTTGTGGTACCTGGAGCTTGAACTTAGGCTCACACTTGCTAGGCAAGCTCTCTACCACTTGAGCCACAGCCTCAGTCCACTCAAAGTCTTTTGGACAGCATAAGAGAGTAGAAACAAATAAATAAAATCCACTCTATGTTTTCCTTCATACTGAGATAAAATTCTTGTGAAGTAAGAGGTCTAAGAAGACTAGAAATATAATCTGATCATGTTTTCTACTGTGAAGAGAAGTTGCTACTAAAGGAGTAACTTTTCTTACCTCTACAGAACAGAAAAATGAAAATAATTTCAAGAATAAAGGCTAAGTCCTTTAGTAGAAAATGTGATAGCTGTTTTATGAATTTCAGCAGATAGCATATTTAATGGGCTTATTAGCATAAAATTATAATTATATAGTATAACTACATAATTACATATCTAGTATACAGTGTGCATAATTATATATTGCTATTCAATTATATAATTATAATATATAAGTAAATATAATTATGTAAGTATATACAATTATATATACTGTGTATAATGTTATACAGTATATATAATTAGTGAATTAGCATGTATTATTCATGTGTAATAGATTATGAGGTGCCTTTAGAATTTGAAGATCATATAACCCAAATGACTATGTATCACAGGAAAGGAATGTGAGATACAGAGAGGCAGAGGGACTTACAGCAGGATGTGCCATTTGTCACTTCTGATTTCCAGAATCTTTTATACCCAAGCATCATGCATGTGTCTACACCATTCTAATATCTGTGTTCAAGTGTTGGATACCCATGTCTTTTAAGGAACCCAATTCAAAATGATCACCTCAAAGATGCCACAGGCAAATCTACCTGCTCAGTGGATGATGCATGTGATAAATAGTGAAGGGTGCCATGCCCTTCTGTAATTTGAGTTTAATTATCATCAATTTGAAATACTGCATCCTCTCTTTTCCTGGCAATACACGGCCAGGCAAGGTGGTGAAGGAACTCATAGTCTTCACTTTTGGGAGGAGTAAGGACAATCATAGATGCCACTTACATCTTATGGTTCCCAAATGTCCTGGATGGTGTCCTTTGTGGTTATAAAAGATAGAAATGGAGGTTTTGTTTGACTTTGGCTGACTAACCTCCCATGTAAAGTCAGGAAGAAAAATTACCCTTTTTCTTTCTACAGCATTTCAGAACTATATGATAGAAACTGAAAATATGAGCAGTAAAGGTAACTGTACAACAGAATCTGAAATTAGTATAATAACCAGCAGTTTACATATTTTTACATCCTTGTGATGTAAAAAAAAACAGATTTGTCATGTAAGTCATGGATATTGTGCTAGATCTTTAGGAGTTAGAGACCAAGGTCTGGATATAGAACTTTAAGAGTTGGCATTTTTATGCTCATAAAGGTGATTGATCAGGTAAGGTGTAACTTCTTTAGTTTAACAGAGTTATAAAATAAGGTAAGGTTAGTTAGCCACAGAAAACATTAATTAATTATAATTTTGTGGTTAGTAGACCTAATGTAAAAAGTGAAAAGTTAAAATTGATTTAAAATAGTTGGCCAAAGAGTCACTACAAAAAAGTCACAACTCAAATGTTTGTTTCTAACTGTGAATCTGAGTGTATCTTAAAAGAGTGTTCAATAGCGCTAGGTTTTAAGTCTATAATTTTTTAAATCTCACTTTTTCTACTTTCTCAAAAGTAAGAAGAATGGAGTGGTAGTTTCAGTTTTGCATTCCATTTCTTTGACCTCTACTTCTCATATGCAAGTTTAGGTAAGTATAACTCCTTTACAGTCCTCTGAGAGTCAAAGATGCATGAAAGTGCTCTGTAATTTATAATGGGAATCACAATAATTAACAAAAATGGACAAAAACTTAATAACACAATGACCCCTCTAATATGATTTCTCTGTTCAGTTAAATAATTCTAGTCTATTGAGGGACTGTGCTAGGGTTGGGACAAAGGTGACAGCATTCATGAGCACTGAGTCCTGGATCATGCCCTGCCAAGCCAGCCAGGGAAAAATGTCAAGATATGGTGTATTTATTATTTTATTGAGTCATATGAGGATACCACAATAATTCACTAATATTTCAATTTGTTCTCAATGAAAGCAGGAGAAAAAAACTAACACACGTTTGCAGCCTAAGATAACCACTTACCACTTTGGTCAAGGTGAAGCCCTCCACTCCTCTGGCTCTTATCTGCTATCTTCTGTCTGAGTTCTGTACTTTTCCAGTGATCCCAGATGACTTTCTGCTTGGGCTTCACTCTCTGGCCAGGCCCTAACTTCTAGAATGACAGCAATCAGGCTCCAAGAGGGAACTTAATTTATCCTCTCCAGGCATGCACCATCACTCCTCCCCTTCAATTCCATTTTTTACTAGCTAAGTTTGATGGCTTTCCTGCCAGTTGTATCTGAGATTCTCCCTTAATCAGCAGCTCTCACTCTACTTCCTTTGTGCATCATTCTCAAAAAAAAAAAAAAAAAACTTTTCCCAAGAAACTAAGTTACTTGTACATTGCTGTTGGAAATGTAAAGTGGTAACACCATTCTGTAAAACAGCTTGGCACTTTCTTAAAAAAAACGAATCACAGGTCTGTGAGGGGAGAGGGAGCACAGAAAAGCAGGAAGGTGAGATAAGGGTAAAGCACTCCATCCTCCTCTTGTCTGACAGGATGGGTTTTTGAAGAATTTAAAGGCCCTATTGAGGGAAGAACTTTTTTTAAAGCATTTTGTTATGTAGCCCAGGCTGGTCTCAAACTTTCAATCTTTCTGCTTCAGCCTCCCAAAGCTGAGATTATAGGCATATGCCCTGACAACATCCATCTTGGGAGGAAATTCTTTATGAGTTCTTTCTCACATTTCTTAGAGGTTGTGTCATTAGTCAAACTGACTACATGTAACAACAAAGAAGAAAAGCTGAAGTCTTGCATTTATCTGCTTAAAACACCCAGAATCTAATATCATGCAATAGTTTTGCTGAAGTGAGACCTGTTTACTTGAAAGATCAATTAACAGGTAGTAATAACGTGAGCATTCTCATCGTTTGAAAACATCTAACCAAAGTTGAGTGTTAAGATAAATTCCCAAAACTGCTGGAATAATTTCCTTTCCCATACAGCTCTTTCCACTGACCTATGCTATCTTACCTCAAGAATTCTTTCTTGAGCGGTGGGAAGCTCCCTAGTGTATGCAGGGCCCTGGGTTCAAGCCCAAAATTATTTTTCTTTTAGAAGATGCAGTGGCAAGTGTACAATCCAATGTCTATCAGTAACTCCCTGTAGACTGGTCCTGAGTAGGGACTTACTTGTTCAAGCTCCTTAAATTTCAAAAAGTCTGGACTGATGTGGATGTTGTCATTATTCTTGATCTCCTTGACTACATGTAACAACAAAGAAGAAAAGCTGAAGTCTTGCATTTATCTGCTTAAAACACCCAGAATCTAATATCATGCAATAGTTTTGCTGAAGTGAGACCTGTTTACTTGAAAGATCAATTAACATGTAGTAATAACGTGAGCATTCTCATTGTTTGAAAACATCTAACCATCCTTCTGAGATGACCCACTCTCACCTCTAAAAGTTCTCTTTCTACTCTAATAAACATCACTATTCTTATTAAACATTGCTCTTACTTCCACTAAAAAAAATTCAGTGTTGTAGCTTCTTTATTATATAAGATGATTGCTCTACTTCCTTGCCAAGTCATGGCAAGGAGAGTAGAGCTCAGCTCACAACCAAGTCAAAACCAAGTGACTCGTCTCTTTATTGGATAAATAAAAGAGGCAAAGCAAGCCAGTATTCGTGATTGTAGGACTGAAAATAATAGAAGAAATAAACACAGCCAGTAGTTCTGAAAATGTAACAAGAAAAGGTATTACTATTATGTTCAAATTAAAGATTGATCTATACTGGCTATAATTTTTTAAAGAAAAAAATAGCCCTACCTGAATTTATTCAACAACTGCATGACTGTCAAATCCAAACATATAATACTAGGACTTCACTGATTTGGGATTCAATTTTTGTTTTGATTTGTACTATTTTTAGTATATGTCATGCTATTGTTGACCCATTGTCATCAAGAAACACACTTTCAATTCTTTATTTCAGTCCTACCGATGACATCGCACTATACTATAACTGAACACTAGGTTTTCTTACTGTCCCCTGTAACCCTCAATCATAAATTGACTGGCATTAGAAGAGGAACTCTGAGTTTCTGAAAGAAACTAATGCAAATAAGAGCTGCAAGTGGTTCCTAATGAAGACTCATATCAGCCTGAAAACTGAGGATTTAGTTTCCCCAGTTAATATTCTAAATAAAATTTTATTTTTTCCATCTAAATATGATGTTTCTGAGACTTACTCTATCATGTACTTATTTCATAAAATGATGACACATGACAGTGCTACCAAGGGAAAGATAACTATCATGGGACTAGATTTTGGATCATTTTTTGTCTATGTGATTGCACATAAAGGTACCTGCTTCTTTACTTCTCAGTTATTAATTATAGTTAGTGAAAATTAGTTGATTATGTCAGGACATACTCCTCAACTTAAAATGGAGTTACAGCTCAAAAAACCCATTAGTTGAAAAGATCATCAATTGAAATCATTTAATCCACCTTCTCTACCAAACTTCACAGCTATGTAACATAGTCTCTGTAGAGTAGCAGTTGTTTCCCCTTGTGATTCATGGCTGACCGGGAGCTGAGGCTCACTGTTACTGCCAGCATCTGGTAGAATACCAGACCACTTAACCCTAGCCTGGAAAAAGAGCAACACTCAAAGAATGGTTTCTGTGAATGCACCATCAGAAAGTCAAAAAATGTTTAAGTCAACCCATCATAATTTGAGGACTATTCCTAGATTCTTCTTTCAACAGCTAGATTTGAGAGTGTATGAACATATTTAAATATTGATAATTTAACAAGTAATATAATTCATGAATGTGTGATATTTAATAATGTATTGCTAAAATCAAGTTTCCTATCTAAAATAAGACTGTAGGAAATAGAACTAATCATGCTACTACCATACAACCTAGAAGTTGTATTTTTGAGCATTTATCCCAGGGAAAGGAAGGCTTGCTTATCTTTTCACAAAAATCTGTTCTTGAATGTTCATATAGTTTTATTTGTAATAACCATAACCATTACCTAGAAACAATACACACATCTTTCAATAGGCAGAAATAGAGGGTACAGATCCCATGACGTACTCAGCAATGTAAATAAATGATAACAATGTGAATGTGTCTCAAGGGCATTGTACCCTAGTGAAAAACGCCAATCCCAACACTTACCTGTTGATTCCCGCGTGGTCCTCTTAACCCTTGGTATTGTCATGCATTTACATCCCTCCACCCTCCATCCCTGTTTGGTATGAACTGGCATCCCATGGTGGTTTTAATGTGCCCTTTCTGGGGGACTGTTTTGCCTCTCTTCTTCCCCTTTGCTCTTTTTTCCCATATCGCCAAGCGGCATGGCCATCCAAAACTTAGAATCGGTTTTCCTCCCTCTACAGCAGCAATCCTGCCAGTTCCATTTTGAATACATCCTTTTCTTTCCACCTCCATGGTCCCAACCCTCATTGGATGTCTCAAAGCTTCCAAAGTTCTCCCTCCATTCACATTCCTACTTATCAGCACCACCACTCACCGTGCACAGGCAGACATAAAGAACTTCCTGAAACCGGAAGTCCATTTTGGCAACCCTCACTTTTCCTACCTCTGTTCACTACACTCCAGTCAGTGGACTCTCACCTTCCCCCATACCAAGTCCTATTGCACATGCTATGGACTTTGTTCTTTAAAGGAATGAGTGAATAACAGTCTCATTCACAACCCAGATCTTGGCTCAAAAATCTCACCTCCACAGAGCAAACCTTGTACAAATTAGGACTTCACACCCAATTAACACCTGACAGTTGCTCTATTATGTCATGTTTTTTTCTTCAGAGCATGTAAGAAATTAGAGATTCTGCATTTATTTATTGTGTGTCCTTTCCACTGGTATATGTTACATGAAGGTAGAGATTATGTTTATCATGGCCACAACTAAATCTCTAGCACTGAAGAACAGTGTCACTCCAAAGAAGGCATTCAGAACATGTTTTTTGAATGAACAGAAAATCACACCATTTATTCTTTTTTGTTGTTAGGAAAAGGAAGGTAAATGTAGCTAGTGCATTATGGAAATGGATCAGGAAATATGAGAATTGACATTCTCTTACTTCAAATAGCAGCATGGAGCTGGAGGAGTGGCTCAAATGGTAGAGCTGGTAGAGCACCTGCCTAGCAAGCATGAGGCCCTGAGTTCAAAACCCAGTACCACCAAAAAGCAGCACGAATTTTACATGAAGTTAGAGGACATCTTCCCTCACATACAGCATACATTCTTGGCTGGGGGTGGAGGGTACTTTCCTGCTCTAGGAGTGGAGTACATCTACCAAGAGTATGAAAAAAAAACCGAAGAAACAAACAGAAACAGATGGCATAAATAAAACACACAGACATAAAGGGAAATGAATAATGTTATACCAAGTAATGTTTATAAATCTAGATTGTAATTAAAAAGTCACAAAAATGAAAGCCATAAGTGTTATTCTTGCACTTCCCACACGCACAAAATTTTTAGAAAAACTGAGGGAAATGCCATGGAATTTTTGCAAGGACGTCAAGAATTTTGACTTTTCAACAAGGACAAAAATCTCAGGACACAGAGAAAGTATGTTGTTTTAAAAATGGGTTTCATAATAATTGTTTGCTATATTTTGAGTCATCCTTATATGTTTAGTGCATATCAAATCACTTCTTTCCTTTGTAATTAAAAAAAGTACATTCATAGAATCAGTGCACTTAGACCAAAAAGTAAACAGAGGAAACAAAAAACCACAAATAAGAGTCGGTAACAACTTCAAGGACAAGAGTGGTCACTGAAAAACCACAAACTTTTGCTGGTTCTCCATTCCGTTTGTCATAGGTAATGCTTCAAATGTGGCTGGCCAGCTTTTCAGAACAGGATGTCTAGCCTAATGCAGGATCATCCAAAACATGCATTCGTACTTCCTGAATGCTAGTGTGGGGTCCATGGAGTTCTGTGTGTTTAGAAGACCCTTCCAGTAGAGAGGCTGAAGGCCAGGAGCACCCATCCCCCAGTCTTATATCAATTCAGGGCTTGTGAGGCTAGATTTCATCACTCAAGAGAGCCGTTTGTTCCTCTTCTGTGCAGATGATATTTTGAGGTTTAGAACTACATTGAGAGGGGGAAAAAAATAGAAGGATCTCAGTGTTGCTCACCTTTAAAAACCAAAACTACTCAGTACTGACATCTCTGCCTAATTCCTCCTTAACCTTGTCACCAAGGAATGGGTCTCCAGAGGCCCAGAAGTCTGCTAACTGGAAGAATGGCTATGAAGTGGTGTTTATTGCCTTCCTGTAAGCTGACTTTAAAGCCTAGAAATTGGCCATACCTTCTTCTTCTCCTTGAGTGCTCCAGAAGATAAAATAAGCCCATTGCTAGTCCCTTTAACACAATGAAAGGTACTGTTAATGTAGATCCTCCAAGTTAAGTTTCTCCAAAATGTAAGAAAATGGAAAAAGAAAAAAAAAAAAGATGGTTACTCACACTGATCAGAGCCCACACACCTTGGATAGCTGCTGCCCACTCAAAACCAATTTTCTCATATAAAAATCCACCCAGCATGGGTCCTATAAAAGCACTAACAATGAAAAGAAGAATGAATGAGTATTAAACAGTACAAAAAATAATCTGTAACACTTGAACCATTCCTCAATCACAGACTTCTTTAAATTGGAATTATAAATACTAAAGAAAAAGGTCAATTCCTGGGCATAGCATTTGGTGTAAGAATAATTCTAGACCAGAAGCCAGTAGCTCACACCTGTAATCTTAGTTACTTGGGAGGCTGAGATCAGAAGGATGGCAGTTTGAGGCCAGTCCAGGCAAATAGTTTGTAAGATCCCCCAGCTCCAAAATAACCAGAGTGCCTACTTTGCAAGTGCAAAGCCCTGAGTTCAAACCCCAGTTCCAACAAAAGAAAAGAAAAGAAAATTCTAGGGCTGAGTGTAGCTCAGTGGTTGTGTAAAGACCTGAGATCCTGTGTTTGAGCCCCAGAACTGCAAACCGAGGGAGAAGACAAAAAAAATTCTACCTAATGATGATGACTTTGAAATTCTTAAACAATTCTCAAAGTAAAACTGCTTCTGAAAAGTTGGTGACTTATATAAAAATAAAAATTGACTTGAACTCAAAAGAATCTTTATATTTTTCTATTCCCGGTCTTTGCATCTAATAGAGTTCAACACATCTTTATTGACTATATATGAGATTGCTACTACACAGGTACCCTTCTGGTACAGAGGAAGGTAAAAAGTAAATAAATGAATCACTAAAGGAATGAATTTTAAAAATATAAGACATGCCAGGTATTGGTGGCCCAAGCCTGTAATCCTATCTACTTGGGAGGCTGAGATTGAGAGCATAAAGGCTCAAAGCCAGCTCAAGCAAATAGTTTGAGAGATCTGCTCTCCAAAATAATCAGAGCGATGTGGTAGCATAGTCAAGTGATCTAAAGTAATCAGAGCAAAATGACTGGAGGTGTGGCAGCACCTGCTTTGCAAGCATGAAGCTCTGAATTTGAACTCCAGTTCCATCAAAAAAAAAAAAAAAAAAAGAGTCATGCTTCTGTTAAAGAAAAAAGTGTCACTTCTATATAAGATTAAATGTACGAGACCACTTTGATTTGGTATTAATCTCCTGGTATGCTAGATTTTGGAGTCAGAAAATGTGGATTTGAACTCTGGCTCTGCCTTAGATTTATCTTTGAGAAATTCATGTGACTTCTTGGTGTCTCCATTTTTTTTACCTGTAAAATAGAGAGAGACTTTTCTGTGTTGTGGGTATGAGGGAATTCAATAACTACTCACCCAACTGACCACATGGCACCAAAAAGGCCTGAGACAAGTCCCAACGTACTTAATCCCTCTTCAAATCCATTTTCACTGCAAAGAGAGACATGAATGTATCTATTATAAAAATGAAACCTACACGAAAGAAAAATTGTATGCTAGATGCATTAAGATAAACTGGGGATAATCTGGAGAAGACGAACAGCAAGAACATCTATTTCTAACTTAAAAAGCAAATCTAGAGGGCTGGGGAGGCAGCTCAATGGTAGAGTGTGTGCTTAGCTTGCACAAGTCCCTGGGTTCAATGTCCAGCACCAAAATAAATAACAAATAACAAATAGAAATCTAATTTAAAGGCTATTCATGATTTTCTAAAAATAATTTTGTTATATAAAGAATTATATAATAAGAATCATAACCCATTTGCACTAAATCCTCATACAATGAATAGATAACTAAGAGGTTCTTAGAATGAGATGAAAGGAATGATGGGTAGCTTTAAGAAAACACAACTGGAGGCATGGTTCAAACTGTAGAGTACCTGCCTAACAAATGCAAAGCCCTCAGTTCAAAAACTCTACTTACTACAAAAAAAAAAGAAGAAGAAGTAAAATTTATCAATCTCAGCTGGATGCCAATAGCTCATGCCTATAATCCTACCAATTTGGGAGGCTGAGATCAGGAGGATTTCGGTTCCAGGCCAGTCTGTGCAAAAAGCTTCCAAACCCCATCCCAATGGAAAAAACTAGGCATGGTAGTGTGCACCTGTCATCCCAATTGTGATGGGAAGTCCAAAATAGGAAGATTGGTGTCCAGTCCTTCCTGGGCAAAAAGCAAGACTCTAACTCCAAAATAATCTGAGTAAAAAGGGCTGTAGGTATGGCTTAATTGGTAGAGTACCTGTCTAGCAAGCACAAAGGCCTGAGCTCAACCCTGAACACTAGCAAAAAAAAAAAAAAAACACAGAGGCAGCTCCTTATTCCTATGAGAATTGTTGAATTGACCAAGCACAGCCATAGTCTTTAGTGTTCTCCACCAACATGCTCATCAAACAATGGTGACAGATTCCCTGTCACCCTATGCTCTTACATGGATCTCCTCCATGAAAGAGAGACGATGCTGAAGCCTTTCTAGTTTGCTTTGGCTTTTCAAAATTACATATATACTGAGGCATAAACCAAGCCAAGATTCTATCTTATCTACTTCACTTATCAGTGCATTCATATGGTTTCTTTTATGGTTTACATGCTGTGAAAACATGAAGATTTAATACTGGGGGGAAAAAAACAATATGAAACAAAATTGGAAAAATTCAAGAACACCTGTTATTCACAATGCAGCTCTTGAAGCAAAGGGAGTAACTTACTATGCACAACTGAGAATCTCCGGGAAAGTTGGGATTACACTCATTCCAGCAGAGATGCCATTTATAACTAATATCAACACCAGCAGCCAGAGTTGACTGCAAAAGAGTTTGGGGGAAAACAAAAAGAAAATCATTAGCGTTTTAAGATACAGGAAACTTAAAGCTAAGGAAGGCAGGATCCCAGAGAAGTTAAACAGATCATGTGACTAATCTCATTGTCATTCCCGTCTGATACTATTTCATTTAGTTACATCACCTTTTAGCTCCTTATGTGAGGAGGGGCGTGGGGGGGCGGGGGGGGCAATCCATTCATCTGTTATCATCTTTGTTCACACATGTCACACATGTGGAGCCAACCTGTCTTACCATACAAAATCCTTTCAAAATTGGCTCAAATGTCAAAAGGAACACTGCTCATTCTGTCACTTGGCCTTGAACTTCAACTACACAATGGCAAAAAATACAAGGTGGAGAGGAAGATGCTGTAAACTAACATCTTTCCATGTTGAGCGCTATGCCAGATGTTTAATATACATTATCTCGTTTAATCCTATGATGTAAGTGTTAGGTCCCTGGCATTCTTGGGGCGGGCGGAAGGACCCGAGGCTAGCACCTTAAAACCAGACCCCCTGATTGATGACCGCTTGTTTCTCCCTGCCTGATTGTTCCTCAGCTTGCAAAACAACTCAGGAACTTCCAGTTACTCAACTAGCCAGACATGTCAACCTGTTCCATCTGGTGATCACAGATAATCAGAGACCAGGGACTCTCTCTCCCTCCCCCATGGCTTGGCCCCTCCTATAAAGCCCACTACCCAGTTCAGCCAAGCCACCTCACTCTGAACCTGAGAGTGATGGCCCTGCAGTCTGGACCAATAAACCTTTCCTTTCCACACATGGAGTGGTCTTTATTCGGCAGTACCTTACAGTAAGGACTATTTTGATTTCTTTGTGTAGAAATTATATAGAATTTCAATTTCAGTGTTTATAAATAAAGTTTTATTGGAACACAGTCACACTCATTCCTTTGAGTATTAGCTACAGATACTTTCACACTACACTTGGTCCCATTTATAGAAAAGAAAACTGAAGCTTGTGAAAACTAAGTGATTTGCCCAAGTTCACACTACTAGTAAGTGACAAAGAGAAACCTCAAGGAGTGAGAAAGAACAAGAGAAAAATAAAAATAAATTCCAAGGTGATAGAGTGCTTGCTGGTACATGCAAGGCCCTGGGTTCAATCTCTACTACCGCACAAAAATACACAACACACACACACACACACACACACACATTCTAAGAACTGACAAGCAACGGTTAGCATCAACAAGTGCTATTTTTAAAGTAAGTACTAACAATTATACAACTTTAAAAAACAGGAAGAATAAGCATTTTCTCATTTGATAAAGATTCTATACATTCTTGTTTGCTTGAACCACTGTTAGCTTCCAGTAAAGTAAAATACTGTCAGTTTAGCAAACAATTTGATACAAGCATAAATGAAAGAAAGTATTTACACATAAAGGTTAAGACTTACGAGCATTTTACTAAACCTTTTCAAAATAATTCTAATGTCATTTGGCTAAAAACATGGAGGAAAAAAATTACCTTTCAATGTGCAAGACTGGAGCAGGTCCTAAGAGCATGTAGCACCCTGCTGTGATTAAGTTTCCAAAAACCAGAAACCATTTCCTTCGATGCTGGTAAAGAGAAAAAGTCCAAAGAAAAGCACCTAAGTCATAATACTCAGGAATCCAAATACATTGAAGAAAATGAAACTTGACATTTAAGAGAAAACAAATGAAGAAAACAAATGAGCACAGAACAAGAATCCCTTAAGTGGGACAGTATTACAGATTCCAAATATATGGGGATTTTAAAAGCAGTCACCACAAGGAAGTCAACAACTAGTCAAAAAATGTAAGAAAATCACATTATTAAAAAACTACCTGTTGTAGACTGAATGTGTATGTTCCCCTCAAATTCATATGTTAAATCCTAGTCATGGTATATGGAGGTGGGCTTTTGGGATGTAGTTTGGTCATGAAGGTGGAGCTCTCTCATGACTGGGACTAGTAACCTTACAAAGAGGCCCCACAGAGCTAGCTCCCTGTCCTTTCTTCCACTTGCGGTTACAATGAAAAGAAAGCCATCTCTCAATCAGGAAAGGGGCCCTTGTCAGACACCAATCTGCTGGCACCTGGCTCTTGGACTATAGTCAGCAGCAGAACTGTAACAAAAAAAATTTCTATTGTTTATTACTCCTCCTAGTTTACAATATTTTATTATAGAAGTCAAACAGCCTAAGAGAGTATCCAATAAAATTTATTCCTTACAAACTACTTAAATCAAGTTAAAAATGACAAGAATACAATATCTGCTCTGTTTATATAAGACTTGTCTTTTTTTTTTTTTTTTGAGGCAGGGTCTCACTATGTAATTCAGGTGTCCTTGAACTGGTGATCTCCTGTCTCAGCCGCCAAAGGGCTGGGATAAGTAGTGTGCGCCACCACAACTGGCTCAAGAATATATTTTAACTCCAAACTCCAAACACAATACAAGGCACTTTTTGTCACCTGGGTAACTAAGCAATCTCTACATAATATAACTCTTGATAAATGTATATGCAAAAATTAATCACTAAAGCCATAGATACCTGAGATTTACCTATTAGTGCTAGCTCTGTGTACTAGTTATCTAGTCTGAATGGGTCAGACCATTCAAAAGAGAAGAGGAAGGATTTTCTGTTAAGATAGCCCCGGGAAAGCAATGCACACTTACATGACCAATCCTTTTGTTCCTACTCGCCAAATCAGAATTCTCCTAAAGCAGAACGTCTCAGTTTAATTAAGTCCCATAATAACCTCTAAGATTCTGCCCTCATTAGTACAATCACCCACTCTCCTCTTTTCTTTGCATCAAGGAAGCTTTTCCTTTAGAAAGTCTAATTCAAGCTAGTTATGTTGGGCACACTTGTAATCCCAGCACTCAGGAAACTGAAGCAGGAGGACTCAGAGTTCAAAGCCAGCATGGGCTACATAGTGAGACCCTGTCTTAAAAAAAACAACCCAGAGGAGCTCCCACTGACACTGCATGTCAGCCGTGCTCTTTTCTCCCTTTCCACTTCTTTCTGCTTTGCCCTTGTTTACTAAATAAACTTTTGCTAAACTTTCATAAATAAAAAATAAATAAGAAATTCTAATCCAGTGGTTTTCCAACAGTTTTAACATAAGACTCCTTTATTTCCATATGAAGTCATTAAAAGTGACTCTAAGGCCAGGTGCTAGTGGCTCATTGCCTGTAATCCTAGTATTTGGGAGACTGAGATTGGGCAGATTATGGCTCAAAACCAGTACAGACAAAAAGCTAGTGAGACCCCATCTCAAACATGTTGTTGTGATACAACAAGAAGCATAAATAGGAGAATCCCAGTTCAGAATGGCCTGGGCACAAAGTGACACCCTATCCCCAAAACAACCACAGCAGAAAGGGTTGGAGGTGTAGCTCAGGTGGTAAAGTGCCTGCCTTGCAAATGAGAAAGGCCCTGAGTTCAAACCCCAGTGCTACCAAAAAAAAGTGAATCCACTAAGTGATGGCTGAGGTTGGAAGATACCAGATTTCTCAATCAATCCAATTGAATACGTCAGTTTTATTTTTTATTTATTTTTGGGTTGTGGTGGTACCAGGGTTTGAATTCAGCATCTTATGCTTGCTGGGCAAGTGTTCTACCACTTGAGCCATCCTCAAGCCCTGAATGTGTCAGTTTTAACCAACGGACCTTTAGAGTTCTGGAGGACCAATTGGAAAACTCCAATCTAAGCCTGCAAAAGCAACTCAAATGTACATTAATTGCACATACCGGCATTTTGTCACTTAGTAGGCCAAACAGTGGTGAAGAAATGGCATATGATAGAGCCAAACCAAGGAAGACCAATCCCACATATCCAGCTGGCAAATCAAACTAAAAAGAAATCTTATATTGAAGTTACATGGGTAAGTCATTCCCTAGAATTTGAATCTCTTTCTTCTAACATTAATCAGCTTCTATTATTACCACTAGTCCAATAGTAACATGTAACATTCAATATTGGTGTTGGCTTTCTAGAGCTGTGACCAAAATGCCTGAGGGAATAATTCATAGGAAGAAATTATGTATTTTGGCTCATGGTTTCAGACATTCAAAGCATCTTGGTGGGAAAGGCTTGTGGAGCAGAGCAGCTCACATCATGGTGATGAAAAAGGAGAGAGAGACAAAGAGAACGAGAGAGAAAATATGCTTACACTAGCTGACTTTCTCCTTTTCACCCTTTTATTCCATCTGGCCCCCAACCTATAGGATGGTGTGACATTCAGGGCAGGTCTTCCACCCTTGTTAATCCTCTTTGGAAATGTCCTCAATCTCCTGTACACATCTCAATCCAATCAAGTTTATAATGAAGATTAATAATTGGAATTCTTTTTTGATAGGGGGTCAAAAACCTAACCAGATTTCCAGATGCTTTGTTTTGTAGCATTTGACATTAAATACATAACTTAGCTTCTATGAATTATAGCATTTTTATATGTAAATTAGTGCTTCACAGATTTCATGTGCATAAAAATTTCTATCATGCTTATTAAAAGATATTCTTGGATCCCAGCCCTAGCGTTTCTGATATCAGAGTTCTGGGAAGGGCCTGGGGATCTGGATTTTTAGCAAACTTCCAAAGGATGCTAACAGTCCACAAGATTTGGTTTAAGGCACACTGGTACAAAAAACACTAATGACAATATCAATTTTAGCCATCTCAAGGGAGAATTATATTTAATTAAAATTAATTGTCATAACACATTTTAAGTGCCTTTTCTAACAGTAAGCTCTAAGATAACTCTGATACTATTACCAAAATAATAGAGATATTTTTGAGGGGTTATCTAAGTTGTTTTTGTTTTCCTTAATTATTTTATTTAACTACCTTCTTAATTATAAACCCATGAATTCATTGGAGTATTTAAGAGTCTGTGTGACAGGAAATCAATGTGAGTCAATGCCCTGTATAGCTATCCTTATCTCAACCAGCAAAACCCCTTGTTCCTTCCTATTATTGCTTATACTCTCTCTACAACAAAATTAGAGATAAGGGCAAAATAGTTTCTGCTGGGTATTGAGGGGGGGAGCGGGAGGGGGTGGAGTGGGTGGTAAGGGAGGGGGTGGGGGCAGGGGGGAGAATGAACCAAGCCTTGTATGCACATATGAATAATAAAAGAAAAATGAAAAAAAAAAAAGAGTCTGTGTGACAAATATTAACTTATGCTTAGAAATTAGTCCTTTAAAGATACTAGCAAGATACGAGAGCCCACAATGTCTTTTTTATTTTATAAATGCAGGGATAGAGTAGAACTAAACAACCAATGGCTATATGGCAGACTGCCAATTAAAAAAAGCCAAGGTATCAGAAGGGCAATAGGATAAAAAATGTTTATTGAAAAACAGAAAAATAAATTTCTACAGATTTCTTAGATTAGAGTTGGCTAACAGGATGCAAAGGCAGCATCCCAACTAGAAAGAGTGCCAGCAATGGGAAGCCCCAACAGCCCTGGCAGGTAGAAGAAGGTCTGATATCAATCAGCCAGGAGCAAGCATGGTCTCCCTTGACCACATGCCACAAATGCATCAACTATAGTAATCGTTGAGGAAACCTCCTGTCATCCTCTTCCTTTTTGAATAAATTACATTTTCTTAATCAAAAACTTGAAAGAAAAAAATCTTGGGTTCCCAGAGATCAGATGCAGATTGTTTTTTACACTTAGACCCGACTTTTTCTTGTTTTGTTTTGTTTTGTTTTTGAGACAGGGTCTTGCTATGTAGCCCAAGATAACCTTGAACTCAAGATCCTCCCACTCAGCCTCCCAAGGGCTGGGATTACAGGTGTGTACTACCATGCTGAGCCTAAACACAACTTCTCAAAAGCACAGAAAAATGATTCAAAGACACTGTTAAGAATGTGAATGGATTTTGTTATCATAAATAAAAATACTCACCAGTTAAGTGCAATGCCCTGTTATTTTCTAAACCTTAGGCCACACACTAAAATTACAGTCCTCAAGTTTATCTGTGAAATACTCAAAACTATCTTTAGTGACCTCTAGGGGTTACTAAAGAAAATTTAATTTTAATCTTTACCTTATATGATAAGTCAATGATGAGAAAGTATATGAAATAGCTCTGCTAGAAACTTTATCATTGAAACTTTTTTCTGATAATTGTGCTTTAAATAAATGGAATGTGCACTAAAGTTAGTACAGTTTTGCACCTGTGGACACTTATTAATTCTCCAGAATAATTAAGTACCAGAGGGTGACAGTGACCTCTGTTGTGTCATTAATCTTTTAAAGAAATATCTGAGGGCAAATTTTAGAATTCAATATTTACTTTTAACATTAGAGACCCTTGGTTCCTTTCTCCCTCTGCAGATTAATATAGTCCATTTATGTGATTATATCAAATAACCTAAAAAAGTAAGTGGACTAGAGGGGATTTGTTAAAGACAGAGGTCATGTCATACTGAATAAGCTAATGAGCACCCCGATGCCTCACTGGAACTAAAACAAATAGAGGAAATGTGTGGTTGTTAAGCAGCCCAGAAGATGAAAAGCCAGACCTACAATGGCATGACCAAGGTCTTGGAGGGGAAGAAGGCCACTGTGCTGCCCACTAATGAAAGAATTCCTTTCACACTGAACCAGATCCCTTGTTCATAGACTCATATGCCTAGCTCAAAAGGAATCACAGAGGGATGGCACTGGCTACCCTGGTTTGTGGTTCCCAATCCACCTCCTCACAGCCACTCAAAGATCTTTTCCTAAAGAAGGGCCCAAGAGCAAGCAATTATGTCCACTTGTTACAGTTAAGCTACTTACCTTCTGCAGAACAAAGAGAGAGAGAATAGGATCAAGGAAGCCAAAGCATGAGCTGAACGAGATGATGACGAAGGATATAAAGCCAACCTTGGGTACAGTGACAAGTTTCCAGAATGAGTGTTCACCTGGATCAGACTCTTTAGGGTAAGGATGAAAAAAGAAATAAATCATGGCAATTAATATTTCTTCACTTTATCTTTTAACTTATTTTCAAAAGACTGGTAGGACCATCTTTAACAGCAGCTCTTGAGTTGCCTAAACTTATATATTCACTTCATTTGGATTTCAAGTTATTCAAATCTTATTCAATTTTATAAAAAAAAATCATCCTTCTAATATAAAAATAACCAACTTGATTCACAGTGTGAGTGGAAGAGGTCGGAGGTTACCTAGAAGTAAGGCTTTCCCTGTATATGATGGAGAATAAGAAAAATCTGATTTTATGCAGGAAAAAGCATCACCAAGAACAATGTATGTTCAAAAAAATACATAATTTCTTTTTCTGTTGACAAAGCAAACACAAACAGTAGTTTGAAAGGGAATGGGGAGTGCTACTGAACCCTATGTAAGTTACTTTTAGGATTCAAGGTCAGCTGAGCACCAATCTCGCCAATCTCTTTTCCTACCAATCTCCCAGCAGTGACCCCACTTCTTCCCTGTTACAAGCATCAGCCAGGGCTATGCCCAAGACTCCCAGACATACTGCATGACTCCTTTCTTTTTTTCTCTGCAATTTTTTCAAATTCCACACTGTAAGGTCTGCCTCCAGACCTGATTCATCCACAAATTTTAGGTTTCCTACTGTACCTCCCTTTGTAGTGTTTACTATTGTTTGATGACTTTGTCTTCCAATTCATTTACTGAACAAAATCTTAGCTGAGCCAGGCACCATGCAAAATGCTGGGAGTACAAAGTTAAATAAGGCAGATGCAGATCTGGTCCTTGCTGAGAAATTATAATAAGTAGTGAAAAGTGCTAAGATGGGGCCAGAAGGGAATCTACAGGGGCATAGGACAGGGTTACCTTAACACACCAGGGAGAGCTGGATAGGAAAGCTTTTGAGATAGCAAGAAAAGAAGGGGGCAAGAACAATCCATGTACATAATTTGAAGACTCAGAAGAACTCATACGGCAGAAGGATACAGTGATAAAATTATGAAGCACCTCATAAAATATTCAAAGAAGCTAGAAATCACTAGAAATTTCAGGCAGGAAGTGAGAATCAGACACATGGTGTGCAGATGGCTCTATGGCCCTATAGTTGGAGGGGCCTAGTCAGAAGGTAAGCATAGTGGTCCTGTCCAGAGATGATATTGGATTTGGACATGGAAACTCCTTGAGAGCCATATCTGCCCCCATATATCCATCCTCATTTTTCCACAACAGCACAGTTTATTATTCTATAAAAAGTTTTTAAATAAAAAGTCAAGGCAAAGTCTAAAAATTTATAAAGTGTGGTTCAACCACTTAAGTAACACATTTAAGACTTTTTCAGGATACAAGAGATATAGTTAAACCTTAGTGTTAGTTTCTTAGTTATCGGTCAGCAGTCAACAGTAAAGTAAACCCCCATGCTCAACCACAGAACGCAGCTGAATGCAGAGAGTGGACGGGCCCCACCGTGTGGCTTGGTGAGGTACTTTCAGAAGAAAGAACATCTGGTGTGAATTTTGAATTGTATATTAAGAATGTTAGTCATCTTTAAAATATAACTTTCAAAAGTCTCAAATTTTAATTGGTCACATTTGTTGTACACACAAAAAGTATATGTGTTACGGTATAAGATAAACCGTTATGCCATTTTTTTCCACAATAAAAATTTATATTTTTAAAAACTATGAAAAGGAACACATAGTTTAGTTTATCTACTGAAGAAGACCAAGTAATGAAAATCTGGATGCAAGTTGGAATGTACTTTAAGCGACACATAGCAGAACTGCCTGGAGAGTGTTTTGGAGCTACTTGGGTAGTCCCTTTTTTTACAGGACTGTCAGTACCTTCCCTGGAAGCCACTGTTAGAGATGGGGACATGGAAGAGTCCTCTGGCAGGAGGGGACAGGAAGAAAGCTGAGCGCCATAGCACTACTTACTCAACATCTAGCCCAGTGATAGGGAAGGATAAGGGGAACCTCTCCAGAAGAAGTGATACAAATGAAGTCTTGCAGGATGAGTAAGGATTCAAGAGAGTGGGAGAGAGACTTTCCAGACCATGTGACTGATATACTTAAGCTTAACAATAGCTCCTAGTGGCTTTCAGGATAAAATTCACGTGGGTTTAAGACTTTTTATAAACTTACAAGTAAAATTATATATGTTTATGGTATATAATATAATGTTTGGTATATGTATGTATATGTGTATATGCATGGTTAAATTAAGCTACTTAACATAAGCATTAACTAACATACTTGTCATTTTTTTTTCTGAGTTGAATACATTTAAAATCTACTCTCAGCAATTTTCTTTTTCTTTTTTTTTTTTTTTTTTGGTGGTGGTTCTGCCTCATGCTTGCTAAGCAGGCACTCTACCATCTGAGCCACTAGGCTAGTCCTGGGGCTGGTTTCAAACCACTATCCAAAGATCTTTGTCTCCTGAGTAGCTGCAATTACAGTCATGAGCCACCGGTGTCCAGTGGCAATTTTCTAATAGAGTAGCTCCTGCTCTGCAATTTTGCTTTCTGAGTTTTCAGTTCCCTGTGGTCAAACATGATCTGAAAATATTAAGTGGAAAATTCTAGAAATAAAAAATTCATAAGTTTTAAATTAATTATAGTATAATTATAATTGTCTACTTTATTATTAGTTACTACTGCTAACCTCTTACTGTGCCTAATTTATATATTAGACTTTATCATTGGCATGTATGTATAGGAAAAAAATATAGTATACATAGGGCTTGATTCTATCTCTGGTTTCAGGCATCCCCCAGGAGTCTTGGAACAGATGCCCATGGAAAAGGGGGCACAAGTGTATACAATACACTGTTACTAACTATAATCACCACGATGTACACTAGATCTCTTGAACTCATTGGATGTAAGGATTTTAGCAAGAAAATGACATATCCATGACTATCTTAGAGGTATTTCTTTAGAGGTATTTTTTTAGAGTTGGTCAGAAATGACCAGGGACAGGGATTCCTAGCACCCAAAGCTAAAGCTGCATTGTCCATGGGTCTAGATAGAGAGGGTAGAACTTGTGAAATTCCAAATTCTGCCAATTAAAATGTGTTCAATTTTCACAATTTTTGTCTGCAAACTGTTAAAATAATAATTTTTTAAGTCTTCCTAAATGGGAGCACCTAAATATGCATTTACAATGCTAATATGATCTCAATCTTAGGGATTTTAAAAAATATCAGTTTTTTCCATTCAATCTAAAAAACAAAAAAAGATACTTCATTAGATAAAGAGCAAGTGTGTCAAAACTTTGTTTTGGTTCATGAAAACAGAACTACCTGGTACTTCAAATTCAATAAAGATTCAGAGATATTGTAACTGATAAATTACAGAAATAAAGAAAAATAAACACCAAGTAGCTAGACTGGTGGCTTTTAGAGGAGGCTGCAAAAGACACCACGTGGGGGAGGAACAGGCCAGTCTGCTACCTAGTCACAGAAGTTCTCAATACCCAGTTCTGTCATTAAGTAATTTGTCTGTGTTAGCAGTCTTTTCCATTACCTAGGGTGACAAGGAGTTAACAAAAGTTTTTCTCCTGTTGCCTGAGAATCTGACCTGGCATCCATTTCTTAATTATCAGCCAAGTATTCAACACACATGAGCACAGCCCAGGATGATCAAGTACTGAAACACTTAAAAAGAAGACGTGCACCACCATGTGCCTCAGCATGGTACTCCCTCTCTCGCTGTATTTTCTTACCTTGTTCTCCAGCTCTCTATTCAATCTTGCTGCGTTCTGCTAGTAAGCTGATAAATGTACAATACCAATATGTTACTAGGCAACCTTGTATAATAAAAATAACCTTGACTGGTAAATTTCATCTGGACAGAAGGAACTGCAAATGATCCCTAAGTCCCGATGAGGACACCATGTTTTGTGCTCCCTGAGTGTGCTAACTCTTGTAATCAGCATGCCACTCATGTACCCTGGGAGCAATTCCCACGCATTTATCACAAGGTAAGTTGACTCCTAAAAGGTGTGAAATCAGGGTGATTCCTATTACTGATTTGGACCTGTATCCTTGCATCTGGTCTATGACACACAGATGGCTGAAAGCCCACTAAAGAGGAAGAACTGACCTTGCCCTCTTATATTATAGCCTTCTAGAAATACTAGGCCATGTGTGGACCATAGGGAATTCTTATCTTGAATATTTAGTTCAGTTCAAGAACAGCTCTAGTGGGCACTGCATGTGATAATGGTTTCTGAGCAGAAATTAAGTATTTGCTTCTTCTAAATGTTAGAAGAATTTATAATAGGCAGAAATTTTTATAAACAAACTACCTACAATGTTTCTAAAAAGAAGATCTGTTCTAAAGTGCTCTAAAGAGCTATTACTGATTATGTAAAACAAAAGTGAGTGTCTGGTAAATTGGTATCCTACAAAGGCATAAAAATAAATTTAAGATCCTTAAAATGAATACTGTAGACGTACCATAATTGGGTAAAATACATATGTTGAGCGGTATCATCAGTAGAACTATGCTTCCCAGAAAAATGAAAGGTACCTTGTAGCCAAAGGATTGATACAAAAAGCCTCCTAAAGGGGGACCTAATACTAGTCCCAGTCCAGAAAAAACCTCAAGACTTCCCTAAAAATGGAAAAACAAAAGAAAATTGAGTTAATCCATTTCATTTAAAGAATTAACAGCACACTATCTGAAAAAAATTCTGCTTCACAATATACACATACATACACACGGACCAAAACTTAAGTCTATATATTTAAATCATCAAAATACTAGAAAAATAAAATACGAGAGTTTTTAAAAAGTTCTTATGGTAGGGAAGGTTTTCTGTTTGTGATGTAAAACACAGAAGACATAAAAGAAATTACTGATAAATCTGATAACATAAAAATGTGAAAAACTGAGCATGGGATACACATCAAAAGACAAATTAAAAGTAGGAGGAAATACTAACAAAAACTAATTTCCCAAAGACATTCAGGGAGCTACTACCAATCAGTGAGAAAAAAGTGAACAGCCCAGTAGGAAGATGGGCAAATGCTATCAACTGCTGTCACATAAAGTGAAATGCAAATAGCTCTTAGAGGAAGCAACAGCTTGCTCTCATTTTTTAAAAGAAATGAACAAGTTTAAACCTCAAGATACCAGATTTTCACCAATTATTTGTCAACACAATCTGCTGGCAGAGTTTGGGGCAGAGGCTTTCTTACACAGGTGCCAATTTAGCAAACTCTCCACATTGTTAATGCCTCTCTCTCCTAGGAATTTCACTTACAGGAGTAACCTCACACATGTGGCATAGTATATACACAAGTTTACACACTGTAGCAGTTTGCAATGACATGAAATATTCATCAACAATTTGAACAAACTAAGGCATATCCACACAGTGAAACAGTATACAGCCAGTAAAGACAGAGTAAGAAAGCTTTTTATATGTAGATATAGAAAGATCTCTCATATAAAGTCTTTGTTAGTGTAACTAGCAAGGTGCTGAATGGTGTGTGTCGTATGCTACCATTAATATAAAGCAAAAAAGAGGAAAGGGGATCATGCTGTCCACCAGTGTGTGTGTGTGTGTGTGTGTGTGTGTGTGTGTGTGTGTGCATGCACATGGAATCTCTCCGGAAGAAACTTGTAATATCTACTGCCTCCTGGCTGGGGGTAGACTCTGAAATGGAGAAAACAAATAAAAACTATGAAGGTGACATTTGGTCTGATGGTGACCAGGGATCCCATGGAAATCCACAGTCCTATCCTGAAGAAAAAGCTATGAGAAAGCCTGCTTGGGGTAAAAGAGGCAGCTGCTCAGAGTTGGGACAGGTGTCTGGTGGGTCACTAATACCAGGTCTATATGTATCTGGGTAGTACATCAGGATGTATGTCAGTGTGATGCTACCAGGTTCTAGACTTTTATGTCAAAATAAAAAGGTACTCCATGGACATTAAAGAAGCACATAACTCTTCCATGTATCTGGAAAAAGTAGAGGGAGGACTCCAGTATAAACCAAGTGTTTAATCTCTTTACTGAACTAGAGGAATACTTCAGGCAAGTCAGGTACAAGGCAGGACACAGAAAAATATTACTCAGGATATTTTAATAAAAGTAGTAAAATTATAATTGTTTTGGGTCATATTTACCCATTAAACTATCCATTAAGTTTGGGGCAAGACCAGGAAAAGCACCTGAATACCACCAATGGTACACTTTTTTAACAGCCTTACTGCTAGAAGGAGAATTAAGGGTATAAGGAACCAAAAACACAAGAAAGTGGAGAAAAGCAGGTATAGAAAAATGGACCCCAGGTTTAATTTTGGCCTTCACTCAAAGGAAAATGAGGAAAATTTATAAAGTACTTACCAATACTGTAGCCACATTATTTGGGAAAGCCTTTGCGAGGATGGAATCCGATGCAGTGATTGCTGCACTAAAGCTTATTGCATCTACTATTCTCACTAGAAAACACATAGTAATAAATATTGGTCCATCTGGAACTTGGTCCAAGACACTAAAAAAGAGTAAGATAATTCTCAAATGCCAATCTGGTTTAAATTTTTTACCTTAACTATGTCCACTGAAAAGAGTAATATTATCCACAGTTATTACAGTAAATCTCTTTGGAATATGATTTTTTTTCAAGAGTTGCTCTGTTATATCTATCTTTATCCCAAACTACCAAAAATGCCATGTCTTTCTTATTATCTCTCATGCTTTCTCTTCAACAAAACCAAAGAAGAAGAGGGCGGGGGGGGGGGCTGGGAGGTGGGGTGGGGCGCAGGGGGTGGCACAAACAATGTATATGTATACACATGTAAGTAAATGTAAAAATTATAAAATACGATAAAAGGAAAAAGAAGAAAAAGAGTTGCTTTGTTAAACTTTCCATGGGAAATTATCTTTTTTAGTTAGTATTTGAGTCATAATGACAGTTTGGTTGCTCTTTCCTGCTGCCATCATTGGTCATTCCTGCTGACCACTGGATGATGCTGCTGAATAGACCTTAATGAAATATAGCAGTTTCTTGGGACATACAGGGGACCCACCTACACACACCTGAGATATCAAAATCTGAGGATGCTCAAGTCCCTTTTATAAAAATGGCATTGTAATTTACATATGACCTATTCACATCAACTTGTATGTTTTAAATCTTCTCTTCTGTTTTATTTATTTATTTATTTACTTACTTACTTACTTACTTATTTACTACTGAGGATGGAACCAGGGCCTCCACCATGGCAGCCAAGCCTTATATTGCTGAGCTATGTGGCCCAGCCCTAAATCATCCCTAGAAGACTTTACTATTTAATACAACATAAATGCTATGCAAATAGTTGTTATACTATATTATTTAGGGAATAATAATAAAAAGGCCTACATATGTTCAACACAGACACATTTTTTTCAAATATTTCTATCTGCAGTTGGGTTCATAGACACAAAACCCAGATACAGAAGGCCAACTGTGTGTGAAATCACTCTGATAAGACCTATATAGAAAAAAAGACTTCTTACTATCAAGTTCTCATATGTTGGGACTCAAACCTTTAAAAAAAAAAAAAAGGGAGAATAAAGAAAATAGAAGACCTCACCAAAAAAAAAAAGAAAAAGAAAAAGAAACCCTACTTCATTTAATGGCTTTCCTGAGTTTATCTCCTCCATCCTCTTACCATTCCTCCGTGTTTCCCTAGTAGTTATTAGTTACTATGCTGGTGATTTAAGGATTCTAAGCTTAAGAACTTTTATAGCTGTTTTGCTTCTAGCACTTATTTTCCTTTGACTGTAAATAGCAATGGGAAAAAACATTCTGCTCCTTGCTCTGAAGTGAACACATGACCTGGACTGGCTAATCAGAACATTCTTTCCCCTTCTCCACAGTGGCCATGACACAGGGAGGCCATCAAGAAAGATGATGCTAAAAGAGACAAGAAAAACAGAAAGAAAGAACAAGAGAAAGAGAGAGATAGAGAGAAAGAGCAAAAGAGAGAAAAAAGAAAGGGAGAGAAGAGAGGGAGAGAGAGGGAAAGAGAGGGAGAGAGAGGGAGAGAGAGGGAGAGAGGAAAAGAGGAAGAGAAGGATGGAGGGAGGGAAGGAAGGATCGACCAGTGGGGCTGCACTCCATGCCTCTAACAGAGCTATTAGGAAAAGTGATACTCTCTTCCTACTAAAGCTATAAGGACCTTCTTGCCACCAAAAGGGAAGAGGTTGCCTAAGATCAAGCACAACAAGAGGAAAGCAAAGCCAGCAAGCTGAGAAAGACATCTGATGACATTGTTTTAGCATTTGTATCCTGATGTTCTGAGCTAATTCTTTGGGGGAAAAAAAATCCATGTTTCTGCATAAGTGAAAAAAGTTTCTGTGACTCAGAAAACTAAGTTAAGCTCCTATCACTCTCAGTCACAGGATTCCTAATGGATTGATTCAGTAGCTAGTTTTTTTGTTTTATCATGTTGTGTTGCTAAAGGGTCTTGTTAGGTAGCTTAGGTTAGCCTTAAACTTGCAATCCTCCTGCCTCAGCCTACCTAGTGTGGGGACTATAGGCATGGGCCCCATGCCTGGCTCAGTAGTCAGTTTAATGGCCATTCCCTACAGGGAATCTATCCTAAAGATCCATGTCATTCTTCCCTGTTCTCTACTCACTCAGCTACACTTTCCATTAGTCACACGCTATGCATTCAATAGACATTGATACTACCTGTTTAAAGAGCCATTAACATTTTTAACTTAAGGTAAACAATGAAATCTATTCAAATATCCAAGCATATCAGAAAGCAACTTACCCAAAGAGAATTGTAACTCCTCCTGAGACAAATATTCCTGCTATAAACATAAATTTTGCTCCAATATATACCAGCTATAATAAATGTCAAAGAAGAGTGATAAATGGGTTACTTCTACAAGTTTATATTTACATAAACAAATCCCCAAATATAAAATAGAGGGAAGACAGATAGATATAGTTAACATAACATTAAAATAACTATTTAAAATCATTTAAAATATACATTGCTCACAAACATAGTATCAACCCTAAGGACTGGAACTGTCGGTAGTGGCATAATTTATAAAACTATAATGGTGATTATTTCTCTATTCATAGAAAGTCTAGACTGGTGAATTAGAATAACTCACTACGCAATGTTTAAAAATTAAAATGTGCATATGAAATTTATTACTTACATATTTTCCAAATACCAAAGATGACAGCAAGTCAAATAAAGCGTAACATCCAAAGATCATACCAATCGTGGTATCGCTGACTCCCTTCTTTTCAGCCTTTGAAGAAACAAGAATGGGAAGGCAAAACAGCACCAGTAAGGAAAAATGGAATATGGGATCAGAACATCATCTTCTTATGAGTTTCTTTCTGTATAGTATTTTGAAGATTATTATTTTAAAATAAGTAGGGAAAGGGAGGAAGGGAAACTAGTTTATATAGTAAAAATCTACTTTCTGGCATGAAAATAATTCACTTGCCCTGCCTATAAAGAGTCGAAAGCTGGGTGCTGGTGGCTCACACCTATAATCCTAGCTACTCAGGAGACAGAGATCAGAGGATGGAGGTTCAAAGCTAGCCTGGGGAAATAGCTCTCCAAGACCCTATCTTGACAAAAAACACAAAAAACAAACAACGCAAAACAGGGCTGGCAGAGTAGCTCAAGTGAAAGACCATCTGCCCAGCAAGCATGAGGCCCTGTGTTCAAACTCCAATGGTGCAAAATAAATAAATATAAATAAATGAGGACAGCTGGCTCTACTTCTCAGTCACAGGACTGAGGAAACAGCTGACTTAAACACACTTCCTTTTTAGTGTCACTTTAGGTTATAGAATTGCACTCCACTAAAAACAAAAAATATCTGCCACTTGTAATCCCAGTACTTAGAAGATGCAGACGGGAGGATAGAGAGTTGGAGGTTAGCCTGAGCTATGTAGGGAGACATTGCCTGTCTCAAAACAAAACAAAACAAAACAAAACCACAAAGATAGGAAATTCCATGACCTGGCACATGAGTCCTACAAAAGCCCATTCAGTTTGGTTCCCTGTCTCTATCATTATTACCAGTTCCCTGAGAGTTTGGAAAAGAGTTTTCCTTCCTGACATCAACAATGTACATGAAAGATGTTCCCCCAACAATCCACATTCTCTTAAAACACTTAGGGTAGTTTACTGTCCATAAATTATAATTATTAATGTTTATAACCCATTCCATCAGGTAACTCTGAAATTTGCTACAGGTGATACAATGTTTATCTTAACTCTACTTCGAACTTCAAATGCTACTATGGTTAGGTACAACCGAACAAAAATAGAGACAAGATTAAAAAGCTTTTTGAAACCTAGAAAAATATGGCAAGCCTTATATCAGGCTCTAGTTATAGGAATTTAAGGAGTTAGAATATGAGTTTAATCTTTCTAAGATTGGCAACTTAACATACTACGAAGCTTGAAGCCTGACCTGATCAGTGTTGTTCTCTCAGTCAGTCAGCCCTCATTTATTGAGCATCTTCCATGTGTCAGCAGTGAATATTTATGGTCAGATAGAGATTTATCCTCTCACCAGAGCTTCAAGCAACATGTATTGGAAATGCAGAGCGTATATACATACACACATCAGTACACACACACACACACACACACAAATCTATTCTCTACAACAGCCATAATTTCCTTTCTTCCCCTTTTCTCTCTACAATTTTAGGAAAAGAAATTTCTCCATCCCTTTCCATGGAAGATACCATCATCATTTAATCTTTACCTTAATAAAATGTAATACCTACCTTTATCAAAGCATCATACCATGGGAAACTGGATGGGTGAACTCATTGGGCTTTTTGTTATTGTTTGTTTTGTTTTACTATTTTTTGCTTGTTTTTGAGTCAAGGTCTTGCTATATAACCCAGATTGGCCTCAAACTCTCAATCCTCCTGCCTCAGCCTCCTGCATACACTAGCACAACCATCTATGAACTCACTCTTCTAAACTAAACTTAAGGAAGGGACCCCTATACTCTATGAAGGCCTCCATAAGTGTGGACCCTAAGCACCTAGTGGTGGGGTAGGGAAGAAAGGATGGATCCATAGCACTGCAGGTATTATTCAGGCAGAATTTGCACCTAAAATTCTGTGGGCTTCATAAATGGTTATTCCCTTTCCATCTACTAATAGCTATGTTAAAACAGTATAGAGACGAGAAAACTTGTTATTAAAATACTTTTAATGACATCTTAGCAAAAGATCACACTGTATATAGACCGGATTTTGAAATCTGCATTTCTACTACACAAGAGTCAGTGTCCTTGAAGGGAAGGTACTATCAAAGAAGTCAATTAACATGTAGGAAGAATGGTCATTGGACAAATTACATTATCTATGCCATTTGTTTAATAGATCTGATAAGTATTTAATTCTTGTATCTGGCATAAAATGTATAATGGTTATAGCAACTAATACCTAATTGGGCTCTCACTGTGAGCCACAGTCTCCATTAAGTGCTGTTCTGCATGATAACTAACACAATTAAATAATGATTGTACTGCTATCTGTCTCCATTTACAAATGAGGACACGGACTTGCAAAGATTACAAGTCATTAAGCCACACAGTTGCCATCACGTACGTTCCACTTCCACCTTCACTGTGGAAATGGAACAGTGACATAGGAGAAGGATGGCAGGAAAACAAGGAATTGAAGTGAGAATCCTATACCAGAACTTAAAAAGAACAGACCCATTCTCTTTTTGCCAAATTATCAGTCACGCATTTAAACCATACAGGAGGAAAGGATGAATTTTTGTTAATACATTTGCCAACTGATGAATTTAATAAGAAATGAAACAGAGCCCATTATTCATAACTATAGCTTTTACAATTAGAATTTTCTCTCTCCTGTATTTCTCTTCTTTCTTTCAGTCTTCCACCAAACAAGTAAAATCTCAATCAAATACAAAAAAATATAAAATACACACACATATCCACAGCCTGGCTTTTCTGTATCTCTGCTCCACTTAGAAAAAACTAACATTAGTTGTGCTTATTCAGTTTCAACTAAGTCAGGAAATGCCCTTCTAACTGGTCATCTACTTACCCCATTTCTTCTGCATCTTAATTCATATAGCTCTGTAATATTATGATACATACATTTTGTTTTTTTCCCATGGTGCCTAGCTAATACCTCTGACCTAGTTTGGTAAGAAATCCCTTATTCTAGAGAGGTCCCAACCCAAACCCTAGAGGGAGGAATGCTACACAGAGAGGCCAAGAAGAGCCTGAACATACAGGCTTTGCTGGGTTTCCACAACCAACCTATAAGCAATCATACTATGCAATGAAGTCTCCATAAAACCCAAAAGCACAAGGTTCACTGAGCTGAACACATAGAGTTTCCTGGAGGATGGCACATCTACAGAGGGCATGGAAGCCCCAGTCTCCTTTCATTCCTCACCCAATGCATCTTTTCATCTGTATTCTTATAATACACGGGTAAACGTGTGTTTCCCTGAGTTCTGTGTCCACTCAAGCGAATTAAATCGAAACCACAGAAGGGGTTGTGGGAACCCCTTCCTAGTAGGTCAGTCAGAAACACAAGTGAAACAGCCTGGGGCTTGCAAGTGGCATCTGAAGGCAGAGGGTGGGGGTGGGGGTGGGGGTGGTCTTGGGGGTAGAGTCTATCTCCAGGCAGGCAGCATCAGAATTAATTTGGATTACAGGACACCTGGCTAGTATCTGTTGCTGCAAAGGTGTGAGAAATCCCCACACCTTTGAAGTCACAGAAGTGATCTGTGCTGTAAGTATACAGTATGAGAAACTGAGTTTAAGTTGGTTTTTTTCCTTCTGTATCCTCAGAGGCTCCCATTATTATTTTTTTTTTCACAAAACCCAAATCTGATGAAACATCTCCTATGATCTCCCAGTGAGTGTTTAGCATGCATGCAAGTGCCCTTGTGTTCTAGCTGTAATTTGCCTCTCAGATCCTTGGCCTCGATCAGGCCACACCAAGCTGTCTGTTTTCCCTAGAAATACACCATTCACTTTGCTCTTCCCCTGACCACATCTGGAGTGCTCTCACCTCTTAGCAACTATCATTTCTCAAGACGCACCTGAGATTTTTCCCATGAAGTCCTATTCCATACCATACCTGCTTCCTACGCTGTCCATGGAAGAGTCAACCATTCCTTTTCCTTGGGTCTTATAACTTCTGGATATCCTTTTCTGAAAGAATATCCAAATAGTCGGAAACACTTCTTTTTCTTTTTCTTTTCTTATTATTTCCATATTTTTCACTCCCAATGAGCAAGCAAGAGAGGGACATTTTCTTTTTCTTTTTTTCCCCTACCACATCCAATGCCCAGCACACTTAAACCTCTAGTGATTAGGATGGAACTGGGAAGTCCCTTAACTTCTGACATATTTTTCTTCATTTTTGCTATTCCACCCTCCTTCTTGGAGTTGTTGTAAGCACCAAATGGATAAATGGGTGGGAACGTGCATTGAAAACCAGTGAGCTCTATATGAGTACAGAGCCATATTGTTCCATTAACAGAAAAGCCACTTTATCCTCTTGTAAAACATGGAATGGAGAACTACAAGTGTCAAGGCAGTTAGAAGAAGGAGATGCTGCCAGCACATTGTGAGTCCAAAGCTTTGGCAAAAAGCACAAAATAAAACACATAGACAAATTGTTTCCAAGTTAGTCCTCTTCATCCTATATATATTATATCCCACTTACTCCATATACTAGGGGACTGTATAGGGATTATTCTGTGTGTCCCATTATCTGCAGATTCCAAATAAAAGGCTATGATTAGAAGGAAGTAGGCAATATTAAACAGAAATCTTCCTTTGTGCAAACATTACTGCTGGAGTCCATAAGAAATTCAAGTCAGAAAAGAGAATTTACTGGGTCACAATTCCTAATTCCAAAATATTAATAAACCAAAATGCCAGAAGACAAAGTAATTGTCTTAATACAGACCTTCTGTAGCAGCATTTAAATCTTTTACATTTTGCATACTATAAAATTAAATAATTCAAAAGATGTTTAAAACATTAGAGTTCATAAGGATGTAAAATATCTTACCTCCTTGGGGAAAAAGGGTCCAAGGATAGAATAGGCCATCATAGAACTTAAGTTCATGGAAGCTGCTGATATCAGTACAAAAAGCTGTTCTCTTGAAAGTCGCCTGGGTGTCTCTCTTGCAGTTCTTGTGTGGTCATCACCTTGAACACAAACACACTATAATTGCAAGGATGTAATTGGGACTATAAATGGAAATACACAAGTGTCATTTCTGTGCAAAGATGGTGTACTTTGAAGACATTTTAAATATAGCACATATGATCAGACAGAAAGCAATTCTGGAACATCACTGCCATGTTAAAAACATATCACTTTCATTTACATACGCTTCCCTCAGATTTTTAATGCACAAATGATTAAGCCATGTGATCTGTTTTGGCCTTACCACAGGGCCTACCTCTCTGGTCTTCAATAAATCCCTTCAAGGATGAGGGCAGAATGATCTCCAAAGGGTAACACTCTCTAAAGAATCATATCGCTTATTTTCTCAGACTACTAGTTTCACATGCTGCATGGATTCAATAATGTTTTAAGCATTCAATGTTATCCATTTACTAGGAATTCTAGGGCCAGTATTGAAGTCAGTGAAGTGTAAGTAAGAGAAAACAAGCCAAAATCATTCAATTGGTGAGTTTAACACAATGGTAGCCTTCTGGAAAGACAAGTCCCACAAAGCAGAAAATCAATTCTTTTTTTTTTTTAAACAGTAATTACTAGTCTTTTTTGCATCAATTCATTTAATGCTTGTTCTCAGGGTTAAACTGTCATTTAACTTAACAACACCTAATCAATTACTCAATTCCAATCCTCCAAGCAAATCCATTAGATATTTTTAAATTAAATGATTCTGAGATAAACGTATTTTATTTGCTCCATTTTTTTTTTCAGAGATGGTCATTTCATTGAGGTCCAGAAAAAAATAATCTGCAATATGAGGAAGTCTTAAGAATCTTATTAAAATTCTGGAGTTTTAGAAGGGAAATGAGAGAAAGGGGAAGAAGAGTGAAGAATACTTGAGATAATATTTTACTCCTAATTGTATACGTAATTTGAATGCATTCTTAAACACCGCGTACTTAAAAGCAGAGCAATGGGAAGAAAGTCATCAGAGGCAGTACCATATGCAAACTTCACCCTGAACTTTACTCCTTCCAGAGAAAGAAGAAATGCCCGCCTGGCTTGGCCTGAACCTCAAGTCAGGCCCCGGCCTTATGGAATCTCTAGGAAGTAAGCTAAAGCCAATTCGATCCTTGTAAAAGGGACAGGCCAGAAGCACCCGCCGCCAGGCTGCTGTCGGTCACCTCCTGTCCCCCCAGGAGGCGGGGAACCCGACGCGTCCATGCGCGGTGCGTCCAGATCCGACTCAGCCTCCACCGTGAGCCGGGATTCAGCCGGTGACGATCGGACGCGGGGGCCGCCGCAGCTCCGCCGGGCCTGGCATCGCGCGGTCCCCGCGCAGCGACCGCCGCGGGTCCTCGAGCCTTCTAGGACCGCGGGAGCCGGGGGCGGGCCGGGGAGCCGGGGGCGGGGCGGGGCGGGGCGGAGCCGGCCCTTTTATTTCATTCTATTGGCCTCCATGGCCTCAACTGCTATAATTTATGCTGTCCTTTTTCATTTCATATGAAGAAGAAAAAAAGACAAGTCTATATTTAATATATAGTCGGACTTCCTCCAATGACAAAAAAGGGAACTAGAAAATTAGGCTCATACCGAATCTTTTATTTGTCGGCGTGCAAATGAGATCCTGTTTGTAATCACTGAGCCAGACACGAGTAAACTGGAAACAAAGTAACCCATGTGTGGCAGCAGGACAAAAATGTTTGCAAATATGAACATGAACTTTGACGGGAGCATGATGGAGTGGTTAGCACGATCTCTGAAGGCAGATGCCTGGGTTTCAATCCGGGATGTACTTGCTGTGTGACTTTGGGTGACCAAGTCCAACTCTCCATCTGTACCACTGAGATATCAGTGCTTATCTTGTGGAGGATCTGTGAGCATGTGCGAAGTACGCGGCTGCTACTTTACTCTCACACAATATTTTTGGCACGAAACTAGGTTTCACTTGTCTTGTTTACTTTTTGGGAAGGGCTGAAGTTTGGAGACGTCTTGATTCAGAGTCAAGGTGAAACTAATAAGTTACCACCTTGGGACAGGCATTGTGAATTTAAAGCAGTATGAAACTCATCCGGCCTGTGCCTCAAGTAGCACACCTCCTTCGAGCAGATAAGATGCTAGTTAGAACTTTATAAAGCCGTGGATCCCACAAATAGAAACATATTGAAAGGATTGCGTACTTTGGTACAATGAATTCCGGATGGCTTCTGGAGGAAGTTGTTAATCTTTGTTCTTGAAGGTTAGGTAAAAATTCTCAAGTGATTGCACTCAAGTGGAAGCCCTGGGTTCAATGCCCAGCATGGAAGGGGGAAAAAAAAAAAGATCCCAGGTGGACAAAGGTTCAGCAAACTGGCCTCACCCAGTCTTCATGATCTAACCCTGCCAGTATCCCGGATCTCAGCTTGCTCTGTGTTCTCTCTCCAATCTAACTTCAAAATGCAGAAGATTTTCCTTGAATTTTTTCATTGGTGATTTACATTTCTTTTTTGCTCACTTTCTGGACTGGTCTTCATTGCAGATTTTGGGTCACCCAAACTGGTCTTCTAACTTATGGTTCTTTTTCAGTTGTACTTTTCTTCTTTTTCTCTATTACTTAGGAAGCTTCCCAGCTTTATCTTGGCAATCTTTAACTGAATTTTTCATTTCTGTGGACATCTATTTCCCTCTATGCCCATTCCCATTCCTCTCCTTCATTAATAATCATTCCTGCATGCTTAATGCAAATCTTTTTGTTTAAATGTGTTTTCATAAAAAGCATTTTTTGGGGGGAGGGGAGCAGTACTGGGGTTTGAACTCAGGGCCATGCACTTGCTAGGTCATGCCACTAGCCCTAAAAGTATATTCTTATTTCATATCACTTTTGTTTTTGTGTGCCCATCTACTTTTAATTTACATAAAAGTACTGTGATATACGTGTATAAATTCCTGTCCTCTCCATTTCTAATTTCTGCCTCTCTGTTCTCTCTCTAGATATTCAGTGTTAAAATCAGATGCTCCTGGATTTATGACGCTACTGTTGCGGGAAATTATGAACTGAGATAGGAGTCTCTGAGGCAGATTAGCAGAAAGCAACGTTTATTGTGCCAGCACAGACCCAGCGGACTCGTGTCCAAAGGCTGAGCCCGGAGAACAAAGGGAGGGGTCTCACCTTATATACCCTTGCAAGCAGATTACAGAAGCAAAAAGCAAAGTTCAACCCACATATGGCTGCATGTGACTTCATTGGTTATTTCATTTCCCAGTGCTGTGTGACCTTCATGTTCCAATTCTTTAAGTTTTATCTCTCTGCTTTGCCATCCCCTCCCTCCATTTCCTTCTCAGAACACCAGCCTGTCTTGTTTCTTTTCTAGCCTCTCCTTTCTTGCTACACTACATTCCAATAAACCAACCACAGGTTGAAAACATCACAATTCAAAAACAGATTTGAATACACCTAACAAACTGAACATCACAGCTTAGTCACACAGTGCACTGTAGGGTATCAACCAGTCAGTTGTTTCCTCTAGTGATGGGGACTGGGAGCTACAGCTCAATGTTGATACCTCACAGCTCAAAGGAGGGTCATGTTGCCTATCACTAGCCCCAGAAGAGATCCACATTCAAAATTCAAAGTACAATTTCTACTGAATGAATACTGCTTTCATACTTTTTGTTTGTTTGTGTTGAACTCAGGGCCTTGTGCACTCTACCATTTGAGCCCTACCCCTAAGCCCATTTTGCTTTAGCTTATTTCTCAGATAGGGTTTCATGCTTTTTGCCCAGGGCCAACCTTAGTCTGCCATGCTCCTTTCTCTGCCTCTTGGATTACAGGTGCATGCCATCACACCAGGTCAAACTTTGTAATTAAAAAAAAAAAAGATCACTGTCCTATACTCAGATGTTCAACCTCAGTTTCACTGGGCCAAAAGATCTCAGCAAGATCATACTCCCTCTCTAGGTTCTAGGAAAGAGACTTTCTTGCTTTTTCAGTGTCCAGTGACTGCTAGGGTTCTTTTTGTGCCAATATTATTCCAAATTCTGGCTTTGTGACCACTTTGCCTCCTCTCTTCTGAGTGGATACTTTCTTTGTAACGATCTTGTGGACATACTTTGAGAGTAGTTAGGGTCTATCCGGATAATCAGGTTGATCTCATCTTAAGATCCCTAATTTAATCACTTCCACTCAGACTCTTCCTCACCCAAAGATGGTAATATTTATAGATTCTAGGACTTAATAAATGGACTTATTTTTTCAAGTCATCACCAGTCCACTATAATAATCTATTTTTAATTTTGTAAACTTATTTAGACATATATACACAGAAAAATGTATGGAACATTTTTCCTTTACAAACTAAAATGGAATAATTGGTCTCTATTCAAATGTCACCTCATCAGAGAAATTCCTTCTTATCCTTTTTTTTTTTAATTGAGTTTGGGGTTTGAACTCAGGCGCCTTTAGCATGTCAAGCAGGCACCCGATAGCACTAGAGCCAAGTCTACAGTCCCATTCTTACTGTCTCATCCAAAATACAGCTCCAGCCATCCTTTGTCACTTTACTGCTCTTTATTTTTCTTCTTAGGATTTGTATCAGACAGGTTTCCTATTGCTGATAAAAGAAATAACTTTGGCTTATTTAAGCAGAAAATGAATTTATTCCAGATTAGGTAGCACATAATAGAATGGAAGGATAATGCATTCTACTTTAAGGCTAAATACCTAAAATCACTACCCAAGTGGCCTAGTTACACATGCCATTTCACTGCCAGATACATGTTCCCAGCATGTGCTGCCAACACAGCAGGACCCAGATACAAGACCCTTACCCTACATCATCTCTCCTTCATCACTCCTTACAGCAAGTAGTGATGCAAACATCTTCCCCTCGCTTGCATCACAAATCAAGCAAGAAATTCTCCAACTTTGTTCTTTTTCCAGAACAGTTTGAATATTCTCAGTCCTCAGAATTTCCATAGAAATATCAACATCAATTCTCAATTTCTCCCTCAAAAAACTAGCAAGATTATTATTGTATTTTTTTTGGCTTTGTAGAAAGATCAATTTGGGAAGCATTAATGACTATTGTGTCTTTTAACCCATGGTCATGATACATCTATTTAAGAAGACTTTAATTTCTTCCAGTAATGATCTGCAGTTTTAATTGAGGTGGTATTACATGCCCTGCATGAAATCCATTCCTAAATATCTTAGTTTTAGAATCTATTAAAATAGCATTTTCTATATTTAAATTTGTAATCATTATAGGACTGGTGGTGTGGCTCAAGTGGTAGAGCACCTGCTTAGCAAGCTCAAGGCCCTCAGTTCAAACCCCAGTACTGTCAAAAGAAAAAAACCTTCAATCATTTGCTGGTGTATGTAAAAGTAAATGAATTTTTACATTATTCCTACATCCTGCAATCTTGTTAAGTTTCCTCATTAATTCTAGTAGCTGTTTTATAGATTCTTTTAGATTTTCTTATATGTAAATAGCTTTATTTCTTTTCTGAAACATATTTTTTCTTTCACTTTATTATGCTGATTATTATGACCAACAAAATGTTGAATAAATGAGTTGAGAATGGTGATCGTCACTTTGTTCCCAATCTTGGGTGGATTTCACCATGAATACAACACTATGTATAGGTTTTCTATATGTACTTTTGATCAGATTAAGGAAGCTCCCTTCTGTTCCTAATGTGTTGAGGAATTTTAACATAAATTAAATTGAATTTTATCAAATAGTACTTTTGCATTTATCATAAATGCTTTTAGCCTTTATTTTGTTAATATGGCAAATTACACCATTAATTTCCTTTTTTTTTTTTGTGGTACTGGGGTTTGAACTTTTGAACTCAGAGCTTTCTACTTGCTAGGTACTCTACAGCTTAAGCCATGCCTCCAACCCATCAATTTTCTCATGTTAATATAACCTTGCATTCTTGAGATAAATCCAAGCTGATCAGAATGTACTTTTTACATATTTATTTACTATATCATTTAATTTTATCAATTTTTGAAGTTCTTATTACATATATGTGAATGATTGTTATGTCTCTTCTGTGAATATGTAGTTCAGGAGGCAGCCAGAAATTTAAGCAGAGTTTATACATAGGATTTTGGAGATGTTTTTAGTATTTTCAGTTTACATTTGTCATCTGCAAAAGAGTTATTCTCACAGAACATTCTAGTAATTAATGTTTGCTGTATTTCATTAAAAATCATGATAGATTGGGTGAAAAATCCTCAGATAGATAGATAATAATGAGCTCCTGTAACAGGAGCCCTGGAATGACCCTATGTTTGTCATTACTCAGACCTGACTGCTCAGGAAAACTTTCCTAAGCCATCCAGT